CTCGGTTAGAACAGGTGAGCTGATGTCTCTCACACATAAAATTACTGGCACAAGCTGGCTGGCAGTTTCTCAGTTAGTCACCCTCACCCGAACAGGACCATGACGGCTTGTATTGATCACCACCTCTTGAAAAACTTGTTCAAATCCATTTTCTATTTTTTTCTTGAGTTTTCAGGCTGTATTAAAACATTTTTGGCAGTTTTGCTAATTGGTGCATTATGTCAGCATTGTAACTGTTGAACATTCTGTCAGTAGAAATACACACACAGCACCCCCAGCGTGATGTCACTGCAAAGTATGAATACGAGTTTGTTCACTGCATTTGACCCAACTTCCAACCAGTGTCGCTGAGTTCACATCAGTAGTTCAGGGTTCCCACTCTTTTTCACTGAGAACATTTAAAAACTTTTCTATGACTTTACAGCACCTCCATGTGTAGAATTTAGCAGCTTTTAGTGGTAAATATGAAATTTTAACCCTTTCCACTCACCTTATGGTTTGGTATTATAGTTTTTTAACATTCAAAATACTGTCAGTGCATTTATTGTCGTCTCTTTTAAACAATAGGCATATACGTTCAGAAATAATCATAATTGTCTAATGATAACTTAACAGAACGTTGTAGTTGTGAGAAAGAGATACTAAAATTCCATAACTTTTCCAAAACTTTTCCAAAACTTTCATTGAATTGACAAAATTCCATGACGTTTCCAAGCCAGGAAAATTATATTTTCAATTTCCATGACTCTTCTAGGATTTCCATGACTGTGGGAACCCTGGTAGTTTGGGCACATGCATTTGGATCCATCTCACGATCTTGCTCAAGAATAGGCAATAAGGTTGAACAGTTGAAACCCAAACCAGGGGCCAAAATAGGGGGCGCTGTGGCCGAGCTACATGGATAAACTAAACTGAACCTGTGCTCCTGTCAGGTTGCACGAGAGGCAATAGGTCAAACAAAGTAAACCTTACCTCAACTCAGACACGGGCCGAACACACAAACATCATTGTTCAAAACACTGGTCTTGCTGTGAAAGAAAAGAGCTAATTACATTACTTTTCCAATTCAAATGGATACTGCTCCCCAGAATACAGAAGTTGAGTGATTTATGCATGGCTTTTAGAATGATGAAAAAATAGGACTGTTTCCATAGCCATTGACAATTCAAAATATTCTATCTTTTGATAGGGGCAAAAGTTGTCACAGTGTTGTATTAACAGGAAGTTGAAAACCATGAATAATCCTTTTATTTACAGATTATGTTCAGATTGGCATTTCTTATCCACTAAAATAGAACATTACATCTTCTCCACTACAAGACACTATATAAATTAACTTGGTAACTTTGTTTATAATTTTACTCTCAACTTCTGTAACTCTTGAGGGAAAGACTTCAAAAACATCAAAGTTCAGTATTGATTTTTACGTAATATGATATAGTGGCAATGTTTGTATAAGGCATATTTTATAGAGGCCCATTTGTCTCGTGTTGACGTCTGCTGTTAATCATCGTGTACAGCCAGAAATAAACCATCGGAGGCAACTACAATATTGAGCTATAAATAAAATTAGTTTGACCTTTGCCCTTTGGCCCATAAAACAGCACTCATAGAAACAAGGTGCATAATAAAAAATACAGTCTTGGAAATGACTTTTGACCAGTACTGTATTTTAGATGGAATTACAACTCTATTTCCAGCTTTCTTCAGTTGAAACTACAAAATTTATCAAAATCAATTGGTCCTGTTTTAACCAGTTAGGCCACGTTTTGTTGATAGTTTGTTGTAATGTGGCGGGCAAAGGAGTATGGGAGTAGTATTTGTCTTTAAGTCTTCAGTAATAATGTGGGCAAAGGAAGTACTGGATGTAGAAGTTTTAGTACAAATCTCACTTTTTTTTAATTGCAGGTGTTTTTACATTTTATATTACATTTGTACAGATAATATTGACACAAATTAAGGTGTAAATAGTTTTGGGGATCATCCTAATTACAATATTATGGTGAGCTACAAGAAATATGAAATTATGAAAATTGTTTTTTCATATCTGCTTGTTTTCCTACTTTCCTACTTGTTTGAGTTTAATGCCATACTGTGGAACATTCCAAAAACAACAATAGAATATATATAAACATGCTGATGGCAGGCCCTCCACCAGAAAAGTTACATAACGCACTTTTAAGAGGAGTAATCATTTTTAACGCCTACTTCGCATCTGTCCTAGTCAACCTGTGTACATTAAAGCCTAAAAACAGCCAAAAGGTTTTATTTTTAGCTTATTTCCAACGCATCGTCTTTCTGTGACCTTTAACCTGCCCCTTCACACTGCTCCTTCACTCTGCTTTTATTTGCTTTAACCATGTGACCTCATCTGGATGTGCACCTGCCTCCTCCCGTTCGCCAGTGTGTCCATCACTCACCGCCCACACAGAGCAAGAACAGGCACGCCAATCACCCACAACACGGGAACTTTAAGGCAGTTCATCTCTGCGTGGTTCAGCGATGTGTTAATACTTTAATAAATACTTCTGGACAACGAGGCATTTGCTTTTCATGTTTTATAATTCAAAATAATGTGTATGTATAAAACGTTCTGTTGCATTTAATGACGACTGTGAGTAGGAGTGTGCAAAAATATAAAAAATTTATTGTGTAATATGATGATACAGTATCGATATAATGGGCTGCTATATCGATATATCGTCAAGAGTATTTTTTGTGTTAGAGCTACAGTTTTGTTGCTTGTTCAGAGGAAGGAAACTCTTTTATGCAACATTTAACATTTTCAGTTTTGAGGATTAAAATGTTTGTTTCATATTAACTTCGCACAAGAAGTGGTTTAACAAAGACTTTTAGTATCAGAGCTATGATTTAGCCGTACCAAATCGAAAGTGCACTGTATCGAGATATGTATTGAGGTTAGGGGTGTCAAATTATCGCGTTAATTGCGATTAATTAATTACAGTCATATTTAGCGAGTTATGTTTTTTAATCGCATTAATCTAATTTTTAATCTCTAACTTTAGTGTTTCTGTATGTGAGTTTCTTTATTATAAAACCTGTTTTTATGTGTTGTTGGGACAACAACACACACACACACATACAAAAAAAACACATTTATACATTTTTTTATTTTGGTAATTCCACTCATTGCCGGAAACCCCCACAAAACGCGCGCAGTAAGAGCGATGTAAACGTCATGTTAACGTTGGCGGCGTCAGTCGCACAATGGACGAGGTCGAAGAGCCAGTAGAACAGAGGCAGCAGTGCACAGGTAAAAACACATTCGTGTCTTGGAAATTATTCTCCCGACGTGAAATATAAAAGAAAATAACAAATATAATATCGCCTGAAAACAACCTGCATAGACTCATGATGTCTGCACTACTGTCCTATAGTGACCTGCCACATGAGGGGACACACACACACACAAACACACACAAACACACACAAACACAAACACACACACAAACACACACCTTCATCATCGTCATTAACCTGAGAACGCGCGGACCACGTTTCCTTCCGTAGACACTGCGCAGACACCGACGTGCTCCCGTGAGCCGCGTGTGGATCGTGTTTTCTTGCATATGCTGCATAAACCGCGCTTCCTCCTGTGCGCCTCTAAACCAGAACTAACACCAAGACTAAAACTGGGACTAACCCAGTCCAGGACTAAACCAGGACTAAACCAGAACTAAAACCAGAAATAAAACCAGGTCTAAACCAGGACTAAACCAGGACTAAACCAGAACTAAAACCAGAACTAAAACCAGAACTAAAAACCAGGTCTAAACCAGGACTAAACCAGGACTAAACCAGGAACTAAACCAGGAACTAAAAAACTAAAACTAAAACCAGACTAAACCAGGACTAAACCAGAACTAAAACCAGAACTAAAACCAGGTCTAAAACCAGAACTAAACTAAAAACCAGGTCTAAACCAGGACTAAACCAGGACTAAACCAGGACTAACACCAGGACTAACACCAGGACTAAAACCAGGATTAATCCATTCCAGGACTAAACTAGGACTAAAGTAGGACTAAACCAGGTCTAAACAAGGACTAAAACCAGTGATCTCATATATAAAGCATTTCTCTATCAATAATATTTTTAATATGGTTAAGGAAAGACTGGACTTTTTATTGTCTTTAAGTAGACAAAAGTTATTATGTTCAGATTTCCTCGTCTTTGCTACTTTACAGCAAACAGTTTCTTATTCATGAAGACTTGGGCTCAACAGCCAAATTTGGAGAGATTTGTTAAACAATAAATGACTTTATAAAGTCACTTTTTTAAATCTATATCAGTCTTTTGATCTGCCACAATAATGTAATAATGAATTTAAATGAAAATACCTCAAATTGAAGGCTTTTCTCAGCAATTTTTAGGTGAGATTAAAATGAGATTAATTAGATTAATTAATTACAGATCATAATTAATTAATCTCTCAATTTTTTTAATCGCATGACAGCACTAATTGAGGTATGTATCGTACTGGCAACTTCTTAATGATACCCAGCCCTAACTGTGAGGACTATGAAGCAGATTAAAAGAACACTATGTAACATTCTGTGGAGGGTCTGATAATGTTATTGCCTGGAATGTTCCACAATAAGGCATTAACGTCCACTACCTCCATGTAGAGAAGAAGATGGCACCACCAGACAAAGTTGCAAAGTTGGGCCCAGTCATGACAAGAATGCATGTTTTTCTGAGGTACTTTTGAGTAATAAAAACACCTGTAATTCATCAAATGCAAGATATATCAATTATAAATGCCATATTGTGAACATACCAGGCAAAACAATAAAAACAGGTAGCAACCATAAAAAATTACACATTTAAATGACCCTAAAAATGTAACTTCTACTGAGTCTACGGGACGTTTATGGACTCATTTGGTCAAGATGGAGGATACCACTTGAGAGGGCCTTTTCTATCCACATTTATTATCTTACAACTGTGTTTGAAATTGCATTAAAACAATATTGCCATGTATTTCAGTTACATCTTTTATTTGTCATATGTGTTTTCACTGACAACATATTATTTAAAAAGGTTCTTCTACAAAACACATTGGTCATTTTTTACATATAAAAATAAACAAGACAAAAACAGGCGTTCATAATTCTGACTTTGCAAACCGGACACCAATCAAACCAAATGCCTTTGATATATTTCCTCCAGTTCTGTCCCACTTACAGAGGAGGATGAGCCGGTGATGGACAGCTGCTATGGTTACGCCTGGAGTCAGTTTTGGACATATTTCCAGGCATTTTCACATTGGATAGTTGAGCACCACGTCCTGCTTGGCCAGCTCCAACAACATAGGATCGTCGAAGAACTTGCTGATACTCACATCCTCGCTCAGACCCTACACAAACAAAACAAGCAGTAGATATTATGAAAATGTTTATAGATTTTCTCCCAAAGCTATTTTTTTGGTGAAATCAAACTTGGCAGCCTGTCTAGTTTGTTAATGCACTACAATAAAGGATAGTGCCATCTGCAGCTTTATATATAGTGGGTTAAATTCATTCATTAAACAGAAGTGCACTCAAATTTTGTATTGTTTTCAGAGATTTCTTGCTTTGTCTACCCAACATAAGCAGCAATTTAACTCACAACCTTGAATGAGGTATGTTGCCACGGTATGACCGGACTCCATTACAAATCTATAAATTATATATATTTATTTTTGTGGTAATAAGTTTTCTTGATTAAATTCAACTTGCAGTCTGCTGAAGTTTTATTTCTCAGTTTTTTTTTTGTTTTTAAAGGTATTGAGGGTGATAAAAGTACTTTAATCAACTTAAAAAAGACAAAATAGATACATTTAATACCATACGGTAAAACATTTATGGCAAACCAAGTACTTCTATGTATGTCTTCATGAAGATGCTATTGCTTTGCCTAAAATATTCCACAGTATGGCATTAAACGTATATCTCCATGATGACACTCAGGCAGTAGACCAACCACCAAAAAGTTACATAGTTCACCTTTACAGAGCATCAAGTAAATAATATAATAAATTATAAATATGTGTATTGTATATGTATTTATTTTTACATAAAACAGGACTCACCTTGCGCCTTCTCGTCTTGATCATGAACTCTCGGGCCAAATGTGGCGCAGGCTGAGGCTCCAGAGGCCGGATCACGATGCTCTTATCCAGCGGATCACCGGGAACTATCTGCAACGTTACATAACAACACAAGAAAACATGATTAGACTGCAGAAACCCACTCCAGCTAATCTGACAAGCTCTCTATGCGTGCACGTGACATTTGAGTCGAGTGTTGAACCTTTCACTAAACGTTTGATTCATTTGCAAATCTGTCTTTTTGCTCCTGAGTCAGATGCCCATCCATCAGCCTGATAGAAAGCGCCACATGTCAGGCCTGTCAGTTCTTCGGTCCGCGATAAACACGACGTCGCCGTAGCAGCGCGTGGAGAGAGGGGGCTTTTAAAATGATTCACTAACTCCATTATGTTAAAGAGTGTGACCTTCCCTCCTATGTGGTCCTGGGATTGTACGATATTTGAGCATATCTGGGCTAATAATGAAGGGACACTGTAGGTATGTTAACTTATAGCTCATATGGGGTGACTTGAGCTACGAAATGCAATGGTGAAATAATTTAATTGTACACCAAGCTCTTTACAGTTAAAAGGTCCCATAGTACACAAAATTTACTCTTGTGAGCTTTAAGTAATATTTTAAGACTGTTACTTCATTGTTTTTTTTCATTCACATGTTTGAGTAACATTTTATTATTAGTCTGTCTTTGTATTTCAAGTGAACAGGTACCTTTAATCTTTAGTTCAGTGTAGATCGCAAATTCTAGGGCTGAAAAATCCAAGTGATTCTAGTGAAGGTGTATGGAGTTTAAAAACACAGTGAAGCACTTCCTGAATTACAACATGACATCATGAGTTGGAAGTGTTTTCTGTTTGAGAGAAGAACAAAACAACTCCAGAAATGTTTTAAAATGAGGAAACGAGGTAACAGATCTGAAATAGGGTAATATTGTCCCTGTAAATAGTATTTTATAGGGATGGAACAATAACCGAAATATCGTGATATTGTATTGCCAAAAGTCTCATAATATCATCGTGGGCTGTCACAATATATATCGAATCACAAGTTCCTTTGCTTAAACACATCATTTTAGAGTAGCAACAGCTTATAAACATAAGGAACTACATATCCCATGAATCATTTCAGTGCAGACAACATGAAGAAATGTTTTTTACTTGAATTCTCGGGTTTATGCCGGTAATAATTCACCCCAAAATCTTGTCAAGGTATTTTAAAAGCAAAATAGTGTCCCGTCTACAATCATATTAGCTTCTTCAAAATATCGCAATAGATATCGTACAGTGAGATGCATATCGTGATAATATTGTACTGAGAGATTTGGATATTGTTACATCCGTGGTATTATTTTACCATTAGTGTCCTAGTCAAAATGATCTAAAGGCAAATATAACTTCAAGTAAAATAAAACCTTGTGAATCTTCATCTTCTTCATGAATCAGTAACATGTATGAATTATATTAGCTAAGCAGTTCATATTCCAGTCTTTCCTCTTTAAAATGTCAAAGAACAGGAGAGGAAAGGAGCACATATGAATAAAATGTGTGTAATGACCAAATAAAACTGTGGATATTTGAATCTGTTATGTTTTAGTCCTCGAGTAGTTAAGGTCTGACTGAAATAACATAAAATATGCCAAAAACTTTTGGGATTTTCCATTTTTTTCTTATTCATGTACTGGGCCTCTAACACATACACAAGCCTATAACAGGATAATAAAGTGAAGCTTTTACAGCAGCGTGTGACCTTCTTGCTGCACTGTAGAAAACGTGTTACATTTCCTATAATTATTTTCAACAAGTGAAATAATAATTGGAAACATGCAGACCGCTGTTTAGTACGAATCAGTAGTACCCTTTTCACTGTGATCCCTAAATTATAAGAGATTTGCGCTCTTCTAGGCTAATTGTGATGGGAAACCGCATGGATCGGAATAATTAGTGACTGAGTAAGACATTCCCGGCTTCAGGGACAGATTAAAAGTGGAAAAACCAGGAAAACCAATCAATGTACGGCTCTGGGTTAATGATTAGATGGAGAGAGCTACTAACAGAGTAACTCAACATTGAAGTCTGCATGCTAACAGAAACAAGCTAATGAGCTGTGGTGGAACAAAGTAAAAGTAGTAAAGTATGTATAAGTATAGATTTTAGGTATCTGTACTTTACTTAAGTACATTTTAAATAGTTTTGAGAGCAGGTATTTGTATTTTCTACTCCCCTTTTGAACAGGACTGAAAAGTAAAAGCTTTTTTTTATTTATTATTGTCTGGGACCTGCTGGAAAGGCTGAGGGTTTATTTTTTATAACATTCATAGTTTGAGCAAACAAAAATATACAAATAAAAACAGCAATAAATAGGAATTAATAGCAATTCAATTCAGCAGCACAAATCCTTATCAAAAGCCCTATATCTTGAAGCTTTATTAGATCTCAAAATCTGCTCGAAATACATTTTAAAAAAAGAATACTTTAATACTTTTACTTAAAGGTGCACTGTGTAATTTCTTGGTTAGGGGTCCATCACTTGTTTGTTTCTATGGATACATCATTGCACTGCTTGAAATGTTCCACAGTATGACATTAAACAGTTCTATCTTACACTTATTCAATTACAGGTGGTTTTCTAGCTCAAAAATACCTAGAAAAACAGGCATTCTGACTGTGAGTGATGTTGCCTCTCCACAGATCTGACCTGTAAACTGGTCTGGTTTGGTCTCCATGAAGATAGAACGTTTTAATGCCATACTGTGAAATACCCCATACAAAGCAATAACATCTCAGTAGAGAAAAACATTTGACGTCCCTCCACCAGAAAAGTTACACAATGCACCTTTAAGTCGATTTTTTTTACGTGATAATTTTACTTGAGTACTTTTTTGCTCCAGTATCTGTGCTTTTACTTAAGTAAGACAATCAAGTACTTCTTCCAGCACTGCTAATGAGGGGATGGTGTATGTTTAAATGAGGCAAATGCCAAGACTCAAGTCAGGTATTGCAGTTCATATGTTCTTTGACAGTTAAATCAATAAGGGATGGTTACGCTAATTGCTGACAATGCCGTGAGGAGACGGGGGTGTGGACGTGTGGACAGGTTCAGGTGCAGCTCATGTAGATAGATGCCCTTTAACAATAATTGGACGAGTGATTGATTTTATTCCCAGGATGTGGAAGATGCCAGAAACTAACAAGATCAGTCAAAACCAAGGGAACTAAATCTTTATACAGGCACGTATATTGACTGTTTTAGCGGGTGGCTTTCGATGGGATAACAAACATTCAAATGTCTATATGAAGTCCCTTTGAGAAGCTAATTTACAGAGACATCAAGGTAATAGGGAAGCCTGATTGTACATGTTTTTAGCAGCTGGAGAATACAGAGCCTTCAATATATGAGACACGGTTGAAATATTACCTGCTAAACCAATACCAAGAATCACATGCATTTCAGAACATGTTTGTAGAGGTCCAATTGATTTTTTAGTTGTTTGAACAAGAAATTGTGTTTGATAAAAAAAAACTGCAGTGTTTGCGATTTGACAATTGCGACAAGTGGAAATCCTTAACAGTCCTGTCAAAATGCAATGTAAAAAAGTCATTTGCTTAGTTTGAAATGAGATGCTAGAATTGTGGAAGGCAAATAAATCTTAACTCAATAGGTTTGTTAGAATGTCACGTTTGCTTCATAAAGATTTGTAATAGTTCCAAAATGCATATGAATTTCTTACAGTATTCTGAAAAACATGTGAGAAAGGGATGAAATCTTCTCTTCAGTGATACATTAAAAAGGTCCTATATTACAAAAAATGTATTCTTGTGAGCTTTAAACCATGCTATAACCTTGCATTATTAGTCCGTCTACATCTACAAAACTCAAAATGCTCTATTCCACCTTGTGATGTCATGAAGCGATAGTTTTCAAGTTAACAGCTATCTTTTACCTTTTGTTCATTAGACATTGGTAATTCCAGGGGCATTCAAATGATTCTAGTGAAGCTGTATGGAGTTTAAAAACACAGTGGACCACTTTCTGTATTACCACAAGGTAGAATAGTTTTCCGTTTGAGAAAAGAACTCAGCCTAAATTGTTAATTAAAAAAAACAAAAACCAGACATTCCTCAAAAAATTCTCTGCGACTCTGTATCTCATGTGTGTTCTGCATCTTTATCATATTCTCAGTGTTCCTTTAGTCCATTGTTAAACTCTGTTACATCAATGGGGACAGGACTACGCCCATAACCTAAAATAATTGGCGAATCTACAAAAGCCTGTGTAAAAATTCAACCTAATATGACTTGCGGCCTATAAATAACCCTCCTGGCATCTCTGTTCTCATGCAAAAAACATTCTCTGTCTCACAAAACCTTGGCGGCTGGAGCAGACTCAGACTGACCATCACGGGGCCCACATCAGCTCCCCAGACTAAACTACTTCTGATGGACCATAGTGTGTTGACTCATTAGTTTCCAGTGTAATGCGCCTGTCATATCTGTTGTGGTTGTGTCCACGCTATGCAGAGCTACGTCAGGGAAAATTATCTGCGTTTAAAAAGGATTAGAGCTTTACGGCCGTCACAGCCCAAGTCCTTCAGTGGATGTTTTCGTTTGAAGTTAAAGCTCTAACCGCCAACAATTTCACCAGCTGCTCAGATTTATAAGTTGTCAATTTGTGCGTTTTTTCCTGTGCATTTTTGTTTGATGTTTTAGCAACCAATCGCATTCAAGTTATTCAAGTTTAGAAAGTCCTTACGTGTCCATGCAAAATTGTCAAAAACATGTCAGCAAATTGGAAGCTCACTCTTTATAATGCTGTATCAAAGGCCCAAGTCCCCTGTCATTCCTTTGAGTTACTGTCAGTTGAAGAGAGAGGACAGACTCATGATGGATAAGCTGCACCCACAGATGTCAGCTATGGAAATTTGATGGATTGCATTTAGTTTTAGTAGTTGAACATATCAGATTAGAAGCACACACAGGGCTGGGTACTATTATGTTCTGTAGAAGTAATTAAAGGAAGGGTACCCAACTGTATGCATGTTAATAAGTCTGGATCTAACAGCATTTATTTACCATTCACCAGGAAGTAGGAGCTGTAAACAAAGCTTAGATTAACTGTGGATGTGGTCTCGTGGTCCACCGTGGTTTTGCTTCAATGTGTATTAAAAAAAAAATCATAATAATAATTTCAAGCTGTATACGCCACCGAGGTGCCCAAGGGTTTGTGAGGGTCAGGAACTACTTCAGCTTAAATACAAAATTCTTCCTCCTGCAGTTTGAAAATTGGGAACTGTAGCTTAAACACAGGTTAGAAGTAGTTATGCTGCATTAATTCGTAGCTAGAACCATAAAAAATAATATGGGTAAATTCTCTAATAGACCATTTTTACGTAGTTTTTTTTTTATTCCAATTGTTTTAATTCATTCACTGAGGTTTGAGTCTATGATGTGTGCTTTATGTACAAGTTTTTGTTTATGGTTTGTGCATGACCAGTCATCTGCAAACTGGACTGCCTTTTACCATTAATAAACTTGTTGATTGATTGATTTTTCTGGTACTGGTACTTTTGAAGGGACCTTGTCTTATTGCACATGGCACTTCAGTTTCAATGTTTTTGGATTCATATCTAATTTTATGGAAACCTAGCTGTTTTCAAACCTAACCAGCTGTGTCCTTGCAAAGCTTTCATAAATATGTTTTGATGAGGACAGCTTTACGCACCACTGTTCTCTCACGGATGAAAATAGTAAAAAATGTAACTTAATTGCACAGGTATGTTACTCAGAGGGTCAAAAGTATAACAATAGACATTTACTACCATGGAAAGCCACCTGAGGCAACATATCTCCAGACTGCAGAATGACATGTACTGTATTTTATGAGAGTTTTAAATTTATGTGTTTTTTTGCTGTGGAGGCGTGAGGGAAGAATCGTGACCGTGAACCCGACCTGCCAGTGGTGAAACACGGAGAGAGCGAAGGCCTGGCCCTGGGTGTGCGTGCGGAGATCTGTCTCAAACCCGAACGAGTCTATGGCGGGGATGAAGGCTTTGATGGTGTAGAGAGGGGAGCCTGGGATGGGGGCGTCCTGGGTCACGTGTCCTCTGTAAAAACAACAAAAATACAATGAAAATAACTCCACACGCATGAACCACTACAGTCCATCAATCAGGTTTTTTTGATTGATCAGATCTGCACAAGTTGAGGAAGGGGCTTAATGAAAAGATGTGCTTGACTGACACCCACCACTCACTAAAATGTAAAAATGAACGTGAGTGTTACTATTGGAATAAATGGTGACCTTGTCTGTTTACAAGGTATATGGTTTATTATACTACTATACTACACTAGGATAGTTTAATCTTACTACATCCTGCTCTGAAGAAAACCAAGAGATAAACAACATGTCCTGTTTTGCTAAAAAATAAGAACGAAATAAAGGTTATAATGATTTATTTTATATGTACGGTAATTAGAAGTTTCTAAAATAAAGCATTCTGATGAGAAGTTTTAATAATTATAAGGCTAATAGCATTCATGTTCCTAATTATTAAACCAAGGACTAGAAAATGTATAAAAATTTCATAGAGGGGTTGCAATAAAGCGTTTGTGATCATCATGTTTGAAAATGTGCCTTGCATCCATCTCATGTCTTATGTAACTGTCCTTTCTAGTCTCTAAACCCCTTTAAAAGCCCCCCTATGGACAGGAGTTGAGATAATAAAAAAATAATAAATTAATAAACAATACTGCACCAACCAGTATGAGTCTTTGCAATCAATACTATATAGGTACAAAATTGATTTATGGTGGGTTTACATTTGCACATAAATCACAATTTTGATGTGGCCTACCTGGAACTACATACAGAACTAATCCTGGACTAAACCAGGGCTTAGTTTGTAGACTAAGTCCCAAAGTCTACATCAGAACTAAACACAGCTCAAACCATGACCCAATAAGGAAAAGTGTGAACAAACCCTTACACGACTAAAATGCAAAAATAAAATAAACATGATCTGATGCATTTGTATTTGGTCGTCAACACTGCTACGCCTTATTCCAATTACTTTATACTTTTTGGCAGTGTCCTAGATTAGTACAAAAGTGTTTGGAGGTCAGAATAAACCCAGAGGCATGTGTCTTTTGTTGCTGTGGTGCTTTTAATGTCTCGCGTCATTTGTACATCAGCATTTGAATGGCCTCATCGCACTGACCTCCTTCGAGCCAACACGGTGTACACAGCAGACACACAATCTGCTGGAGCCTGCACCTCCACAAAGTAATATGGCTCCATCAGCCTTGGTGTGGCCTGGGAGGGAGAGAGAGAGACGGAGGAGAGGGAGAGAGAGGGAGAGAAAGAGAGGTAGAGAGAGGAGAGAGAGGGAGAAGAGAGGAGAGAGAGGGAGGGAGGGGGAAGAGAGAGGAGAGAGAGGTTGGAAGAGGTTGGAGAGGAAAGAGAGGGAGGGAGGGAGAAAGGCAGAGAAAGAGAAGAGGGATAGAGAGAGAGGAGAGAAGAGTGCGAGAGGAGAGTGAGTGAGTGAGAGGGAGAGAGGAGTGGAGAGAAAGGAGAGAGGGCATTAGTGATGACAAAAAGTCCATGGTCATTTCATGTAGCACAGGGAAAGAGATTGGCAATATGCAACAGCGTTTTCCAGTGAGAGGTGTGAAGGGACTTGTTGGAATCATTTCAGATTTCAGAGAGGTGAAATTGAAGTCACTGTACTAGTAAACACCTGTTTATTTGTCTACTTAGTAATAGAATCAATTTCAAGTTTGAAAGTACCCAAGATAAAAAATGTTTGGAAACCACTGACAATATCAAAATTGTTGTTGTGAAAAAACGCAAAATTAGAATTGATACTTTTCAGCTCATGTCGTCAACATTCCCTGGGGGTGTGAATCTAACTGAAAGTAGACTGTTAGTGCTGTGACTCAAATTAAGACTTTAATCTGAGCTTTATTTTAACACAATCTGACCATAAAGACCTAATTTAGCTGGAAGAGGTGAGCTGATTTGTGGTGTTAAACAAGTCCCTCACAAATAACACGACAAGACCAATTAGCAACAGTTTTTTAGTTAGTCACTCTCACCATTTTGTTGAAAATCACCTAAACACCTAAACGGACCAATGAACACTTGTATTGATCACAAGCTCCTGAAAATGTGTTGTTTAAATCAATTTAGTAATTTTTTCTTGAGTTTTCAAACCAGCTTAAAACACTTTTTGGCAGTGTTTCCACCATTAGAAAAATATGTAGAACACCTCAAACGTGATGTCACTGCAAAGTAAAGTGGTCGCAACATGGGTTTGAGATCTATATTTGTGTTTAAATTTACAGTATCACTTTTGGTGCAATACTTGAACGTCAACCAAGAAATTTAAAGGCTCATTTAGGGACATTTCTGATGGCCTGCCAAAATATGATCAGATTATCATTATCGGGCGAATAAAATAAATTAAAATACGATAAGAAATAATTTTTTTGTCAACATCGCCCACACGATGACAAAGAGTGCATGGCCATTTCATGTAGCGGGGGGATTTATGAGGAAAGCAAAGAGGGGGCCAAAGAAGGGACGGATCGGAGCCAAAATTGTGAAAGACCAATGTGATCGCGCTGCAATTAAAAAGAGCGCGCATCAGCAAAATCTCAAGATGTAGCAATCAGCGTAATGGAGTCTTATAGAAAGAGGGGGTGGAGGAGGGCAGAAGGGAGAGGGGCAGAAGCGGGGGGGGCGATAGAAGGCAGAGTACGGGCCAACGTGATCTCACCATGAGGAAGGCGGAGTAGACCACCCTTCGGGCTGTGGGGATGACCTGGCCCCCGCCTCGGTGTAGCGGCTCTTGTGCGATGACTGCATCCAGGATCTTAAACTTGACATTTCTGATGGCTGAGGGCAAAGGAGGGACATAAGAGAGAGATGAAACTGACCTTCATTAAAAACACTGAGTACAAAGAGGAGGCTAAGACAGGCCTCGAGGTGAGGAGAGAGAGAGAGAGAAGGAGGGAGAGAAGCACAGGGATGCAGAGAGAGGAGGGGGTAAGGAAAGAGGCGAGAGAAATGGACAGATGAAGACAGAGAGAGAGAAACGTAGAGAGAAACGGAGAGAGCAAGAGAGAACAGAGCGAGAAGAGAAAAAGATTGAGAGAGAGAAACAGAAAGAGAGATGGAGAGAGAGGAGAGATGCAAAGAGATAGATGGAAAGTTAGACAGAAATGGAGAGGAGAGAGAAATAAAGAGATGAGAGATACAGAGATAGAGGCCGACAGAGAAAGATCGACACAGAGACAGAGAGAGATAGACAGAGCAATAGGGAATGAGGGATATATAGAGGTGATAAGAGAGATGTAGAAATATGTAGAGAGAAATAGAGACAGACAGAGAGAGAGGGAGAAGACTTACGCTCATCACACAGAGGACCCTCCCTAGTGCCCCACTGGAAACCCTGCACGATGCTGTCTTTAACTGAGCCCAGGAGTGCCTTGTCCACCTAAAACACAACAAACAATATTTAAAAACATGATTTAAAACAATGAGCAGCGTGAAACAGGGTAAAGAGCAGGGAGGGACATTCGGTAAATAGCTGGAAATTAATCTCACAACTCTGAGGTGGGCAGAGAGTTTAGCATGTGTGCTGGGAGCGCTCGTGTGAGGGCCAATCTGTTTTCGAATAATTGTCTTGAGAACCAAAGCACCAAATTGTAAACACAAACAACTTGGTGATCATGTCCAGTGTTTTTATGATTAAAAATAAATCAGCATCACAATTGTCATCAGAAGAAGCTATATTTGAGCTACATGTTTACCTCATATCTGCGAACACAGTTAGGGCATTTAGTTCATGTTTATAGAATTTAAAATCAAACTTGCATATGGTTCCTTTAATCAAGCAATATGAAATGGAAATATGAAACACCATGATTTTTGTTTGTATTATCTGGCGACATGCTCCCATAATTGCTGACCAACAACTGAAGTGAACAACACTGTGTTTGTTATTACGAAACAGTGATAAATATTCCAGAATGAAATGGTTTATATTTGGTCCAAAAGACACCCAGACACAAGGCTCCATTTCTGTCAGCCCCTGCAAGTCCCTGCCAGCCCGTCAGCCCCTGTCGGTCTTTGTCAGTCCCTGCGTATTGTGTCTTGCTGTAGGTGAATAGATTTATGCAAAAAGTAATAAAACAAACATTCACCAGCACCTGTCAGTCTCTGTCAGTCACTGCCATCCCCTACCAGCCCCTGTCAGTCTCACCTCAGAGGGCAGTGTGTCGTCCACCAGGATGTTGGGCCCAGTTGTGTCTGGTCCAAAAGCCCAGATGGACCTGGCAGCCAGAAGATCCCAGTCGTACTTGGTCTGGAAGAACTCACCCAACTTCTTCCTGCAAAAACAACAAACCGGACAATTGGACTGTGCACTTCTAATTATGCTACTGTATCATGTTTATTATTGCTTTAGTCAATTACCAAATGGAAAACAATAGAGACTACAATTACTGCTCCAATCAATTGCCTAAATAGTGTAATAAAACATAACTTAATTAAATTCAGTGGGCACTAATTCTTCCCCCTTCTCCAATATACGATGGCTTTTAAAACATGACTCACAAAACTTACAAAAAGTCACATCTTTCTTACAGCAACCACTTTTTTTTCCAAATAATACAGTTTCACTTACGATTCATATAATTGTGATTCATTTTTCAGTCAAGCTGTTAGATTGATACGTAATGAAAAGGTGTAATGATTTGCTCTCAACCTGGAACAAAGCCACACTTCAAATTTACAGTAGCTTTTAAAATATAAATTGCAAAAAGAAATACGACTACATTTCCTCTGCAGATTAAAGATCCTTTATTACACAAAACTGATTCTTGTCAGCTTTATGTTAGGTGATAATACTCTTAACTCCTCAAAAGAGTTGTGTTTTGTTTCATTCACAATTCTTGGCCTGAAATGATCCAAATACGTCTGCTGAAGGTATATGGATTTTAAAAACAGTGGAGCACTTCCTGTACTACCGCATGACATCAAAAGGTGGAACAGACTGTTTTCTGTTTGAGGGAAGAACACAGCTTTCCCAAGGCCAAATCTGTGTGTCAAATGTGTGAATGAAACAAAACACAACTCCAGGTATATTTCTGATGAGGAAACATTAGAATATCGATCAGAAAATTGTGTAATATGGGCCCTTTAACTTGTTGTTTCAAATAATGAGGATATGAATTTTGACCCAAACCATAAACATAATTAATTCTTCTACAATGGGGCAGGCCTGCAGAACAACCACCAGTTGAAGCGGGCGTGTGGGCGTGTGGCATTATAAAGATTTGTTGTCAGAGGGTGAAAGGGGTTAATGGACAAAAAGGACTACAGAGCGAAGGTTTAGTTTAATGGCGTGTGAAGCATGTTCCATTTGAGGCCGGGCTGATCTCCGCTGCTCAGTTTGGGCAGATGGACCCACAGATGAGAGGGGGACTGAGACGGGGAGTTGAGGAGGGGGGCTCTGGCAGGACCGGCCCGTGCACACTCGCCCATGCGCGCCATCTCACGCCGATGACGGCAAATTTCATACAAGCTTTTACCGCATGATCCAATTACGGTAAGTGAGCAGATCGATAAAGCAAGGAGGGCTTTTAATGAGCCATATGTCACAAGTTACACCGGTGTCCTCCAGCATACCTAAAGCAGAGTGCACGTGAGCCTGGGGTTTACGTAATTGTAAAACTGGCATCTAAGCAGAAAATATATATGTTTATGTTAAGTATTAAAATCACTAAATGGACTTTTTATTTAAGCATGATATATGTAGCGCAGGGATGTTCCAACTACGGCATGTGGGCCAAACATGGACCTCAGAAAATGTTTTGTTGGTCCTCAAGTCTCTTTCTGAAATGGCCTAAAATTATCATACTAGGCAGTGCTTTTAACTCGAAATTTGTGTACAATAAATATACAGGCTTCAATGATCAGTTTTTTATATAATGTTAAATGCCATGTACCTGATTTTTCCCCATGTATTTGAGTAGAATCTGTTGTGCTTCTGTACATATTATACTATAAAGAAGTGGACTAAGGGAGTGTGACATCCCCCAAAGTGTCCAGTCAAATGAAGCTCACTCAGGCTGGGCATTATAGGGGCTATAGTTATAGGAGCAGGGTCCCATATTAAGAATAGGAATTTATTTACGTACAAAATAATGAAATAAAAACACCAGAATGACAGTTTTCCAAAGTAAAGTTAAAGGAAACATCAATGGAGCCACAAGTGCCTACTTGAACAGGGCAGATCACAGGTTAGCTATGTCCATTTATATATACAGTCTATGGTACAGATACATTGTGCAAGCAGCTTTTGCAGCTTTTGAATTATAAAGAGGTTTGTCTGGAAGTGCACTGTTAGCATGCTAGTGGTTGCAGTTGACAGCAGTTGACAGTAACAGCAAAACTCTGCTCTGGTCTCTGAAAGTTGTGAAAAGCAAAACTCATCGCAAACTCATTGCAGTGAATAATTAGGATACTGAGAATGCGTAAGGTAAGTGAGGAATAACTTTGGACCCCTGCAAACCGTTTAAAATGAACTTGTTTTGTTTTTCACATTTTTAATTGAATAGGAAACAGATGCATTCTTTTAAAAAGTAGGGCCCGAAACTCATCATACACCTGCATATTTTGCATGAGGGAAACTGAAATTATGCAAATAGAAAATCTGGCAATGAAGCAGATATTTTCCATTTTAAGGTATGCGCTTAAAATCAATCAGACTTTTGGCTTTGAGTCTTGAATCTTGCACAGTTCCAAAACATGGAGACATTCACATTTATCTTAAGTTTGAAACCTACTTTTCCAATTTAAAACCCTAACTTCTTGGCTATGTGCCCACTGATAACACACATTACCTGTAAATCCACTACAAGTTCATTTTATATAACTATTTAAAGCCAGAGTATTTCTATATTCCTCTGGCTTCTTCAATGACAGTATTTAATTAAAAAAGCAATCATCATTCTCAACATGTCAGCCCATTTTTCCCTGCTACCAGAGCGATAAATGGGAATTAATAGCCATTCTGAAATATAATGAATTTAATAAAGAATGTAAAGTAATGTAAATGTAAAGACAGGTCAAAACTGAAAAGGACATTTGTGTCCATAGCAATTTGCCCTGATTACAAGAAAAACGAATTAGAGGTCTCATAATCATGACACCTGTAGGTCAGATAGGTCATAGAAATGTAATTTGGGGAAAGTGAACATTCTGACAACTTATATGAAAAGGTAAGGGGTTAGAAGTAAGGCTGTTACAACTATTTGGGTTAAAACTACAGGAAATAATTTAGTGTGGTATGGACACAGACTAATGGGCCATTACTGAGAAAAGAGGTTTTAGTACAGCAACACCGCTACAGTTAAATGTGCATTGTGTAACTTTTCTGGTAGAGCTGTTATTGCTTTGACTAGAATGTTTCACAGTATGGGATCAAGCCTTGCTATCTTCATGGAGACCAAACCAGACCAACTTAGAGGTCAGATCTGTAGTGAGGGAACCCCACACTTTTCTGAGCTGTATTTTTGAGCTATAAAACCACTGGTAATTTCATAAATGCAATGTAGAGCTATTTAATGTCATACTGTGAAACCCTCCAGGCAGAGCAATGTAGAAACAGGCAGGTGACGGATCCCCAACCATAAACTTACATAGTGCAACTTTACCAGTAATCTGGATTCTCATCAGCATGTGTGTGTTTTTGTCACATGTCCATTTGTTTTTATCGTTTGTATCTATGTTTGACAATGCCTGTGAAAAAAGAATTTCCCCCTGTAAACAATAAACATCTATCTGGTATATTATATAAGTAGATAATAGTGTTTATTTTTCTCCACTAAAACGGATTCTCAGCTCAGACCTATTTGGGATTTTTTTTTACTTTAAGGCTGGGCATTTATAGCATTTATAGCATTAAAGCAAACTGAATATAATGTTTTTAAATGAACCTTACATGAATGCTTTCTCTGCCATTCAATGCTCAAAATTATCCAATGTATCCCTCAAAACTCCAATCTCTGCTCCAAACTTCATGTGTGGTTCAAGCTATTACATCTCTATTTCAGTAAAATTCCATAACAATAGCCCTATGTGCCAGTATATACAACATACGGTTGATAGTATAGGGCCCGACTGGTGTATTCTGTTTTGTACTTGATACCTGGTTTATGCTTTTGCTGTGTTTTACCTGTTCCATGTGATCTGCACCACTTCGTTCTCGATGTCTTCTGCCAGACCCTTTTCCAGAGGCTCCGCGATCATCGTAATCTTATTCCTGTCAAATAAACACAACAGCTGTCACTCAATCAGTATGTGATGAGGAAACTTCAGTCAAGGGACACATTTGAGCCGAGAATGCTGCACGGTATGGCATTAAATCCCATTTAACTTACATATAGTTAATCACAGGTGTTTATCATTTTATTGCCAATAAAATGCATGCATCGCCTGATAGTCACCATGGAGATAGATACATAGATATGGTTAAAGTCATGTGGAGCATTCCAGGCAAAGCAAAATGTCTCTGGAGCCAAGTCGGTGGCAAATGCTCCACTAGAAAAGTTACATAATGCATCTATAACTTAACTAGAACATTATATAATATAATATAGTAAATGGCATACAAATTACTGATACACTTACTTTTTGTTTGGCGTTTCAGCAAAACACTTCAGAGAGGAGGTTTCAACAACTGTCTCACAGAATGTTACGACTGGATCAGCCACCTGCAAGAAAATATATAAGTAATCTTTAAAATGTTGTTTAAAATGTCAAAATAAATACAAAATGATAATAGAACTTACTTTTATGTCAATCTCTGAGTACATCTTTCTGAGGTCGTGCATCACACAGTCCAGATAGAGTTCTCCTGTTCCCAAGATCACATGCTCTCCAGACTCCTCCACCTACACAAATGAAGAACTTTAAGATCAATATACCATTTTATATACAATACAAAGACACTAAAACATTTTTTATATAAATCTTTAACAGCTATGGTTGCATCTCTGGGTGATTAACAGAATATTAATGGGGCACTGTAACTTTTCACAACCAGCCTGTTTTGTCTCCATGGTGATGTTACTGCTCTGCCTGGACTGTTCCACCCAATATGACATTAAAACATACAAAGGACAATCTTATATTTTTTCAATTAGAGGTGTTTATATAAGACTGAAACGTCATCCACTTAAAGAAAAAATTTTAATGCTCTACTGTGGAACATTCCAGACCTTGGTTTCACTACCGCATTGACTTACTTTAGTGGTGAGGGAGGGGTAGCTCTTGTTGACTTTCCTGAGCCCGTCCAACATTTTTGGCAGTTCTGACGGATTCACAGGCTCCACAGCGATCTTTATAACTGACGCTGTGTTGAACTTTAGGGGTCTGAAGATTTGTGCCTAAAATAAGATTAAAAAAAAAAAGTTTAATTTCAACTTAATATAAAATAAAATAAAAATACATATCATTTTTCTTACATCTTCATTGCCTCTGGGCTCTGTGATGGTGGAGGTTTTCACGATGGACTGGTCACAGCCTTCAATGAGGACCCAGTTTCCAGCAGGTACACGGTTCACTTCAATTTGGTATCTGAACAGAAAAGTAAAGTATAAAAAAGTTAGCTTTACTGTAAAGGTTTGGTGAGGTAAGAAAATGCTGAACTTATTAAATTGACGGCAAAAAAAAGGGTTGGGAAACATGTTCATTGCTATTTTGAGGTAAACAACTTAGACAAACTTTATTGATCCACAAAGGAAATTATTTAGACTTAAAAATTCAAATTAATCTTACAGCGTTGGTTTGTTTGAAAATTATTAAAAAGTGAATTTTAATATTATAAAGCTAATTAACATTATCTTAAGAGTATGAGAGATTTTCATAGCAGTTTAAAGGTCTTATGTTTCGTAAAATTGACATTTGTGAGCTTTAATTCATGTTAAAATGTTGTTACCTCCTCAAAAAACATACCTGGAGTATTTTGTTTCATTCACACTTATTAGTCTGTCTACATCTCCAAAGCCCAAAATAGTCTCTTCCACTTTGTGACCCTTTAAATATTTTATTTATAATGGAGAATCTTTCACACCTGGCAACAGAGATCCAGAGTCTCCCCACGGTGCAGACCTGGGAGTCCTCTTCGTCCTCCAGAGTATAGTTCTCTCCCAACACTTTGACCGGCTGTCCCGCCTGAATCGTCCCACTCAAGACACGACCAAAAGCGTGAAACTGGACCCCATCCTCTGTGCTGTACATCTTTGTTGTGTGGCACATCAAGGGGCCCTAAGGAGACAGGGACAGGTGAGAATGCACAGAAGAGGGGAGATGAAAGACAGTGACAACACAGGCATTATTATATTTCTGTATATTATTTGGGCTGCTGCCTTTTTGTGAAGTCACGATAGAAAATTATATTTTTTTAAGAAATGGAAGTGTGACCCCATGAACAAAACTGAACTGTAACAACTCAATGTATAATGAGGTAAATTAGTGAGTCTTGGAGTAAAAAATACAGAAAATGTATGTGGCTAGTTGTCCAGAAATATTGTAAAATGTACATTTAACTTAGATTTTGCAGGAGCAACTACTAAACCCTTTTTTTTTTTTATATATATCTAACCTAATCTAATATAAAACACATTAAGCTTCTAATATCCATCTTCTTATAGTTTAAAATAATGTACTTACATCAGGGTCACACTCTGACATGGTCTCCCCAAGGTCTGAGTCCAGGCCCCCAGTGTAGGTGTGCTCTATTTTGGTCTTGGCGCCATCTTGTGGTGAGGGGATGTGCTGCACACACATGTCCACCAGGCCTGAATGACAGTATATTTATGAATGACAGTATTGTGAAAAATCAAACTTAATTAAAAAATATTATGTATGTGTAGGAAGGCATTAAGAATAGTACTGCAGTAGTCTTACCGGTGAACTCTCCAAAGAAGCGGTTACAGACCAGCCTGAGCAAAGGTCTGATGTTCAACTTGAGCTCCTCTTTGGACAAATGGATTCCCAGTTCATCCAAAACTCGAGGGAGAGAAGTGTCCACATCTCCAACCACCTACAATGAAAAACATGAGATGTCATTACTTTGCCTGTAACTGTCCACATTTTGGAAATGAAATGGTGTAACATGCTGCTAAAAATTACTCTGAAAAACATGTATTCTTATTGTAAACAGGGTCAAATCTCCATCAGATCTGACCTGTAACTCAGCCTGATGGAGTCAGGCAGCTGCTTGTCCCTATGGATATATAGATACGTTCAATGCCATAATGTGAAATAATAGGCAAAGCAATAACATCTCCATGGAGACAAGCAGGTAGCAGACGCTCCATCAGAAAAGTTGCATGGTGTACCTTGAAAATATACATTTATAAACTTAGTATTGCATAATAAATAAGACCCATTCTTGCCTTGCTATATATCTTTGTATCTTACTTTAGAGATGTCCTTTGGTTGCCCATTAGTCAAAACTTACTGTCTTCCTTAATATAAATAAATCAGTTTATAATAATATAAAATGGACAAACCTGTGAGAGAATCTTGTACAAAGGCTCCAGAACAAACTCCACAAAGCTGCGCTGAGAGTTACTGGTAGGAGCTTTCTTTGTGAACTTGCGGCTAGAATTAAAAATGCATAAGTTTAATAATTAGAAAGAAAAAAATGGGTAATATAAGAACAATGAAAAAACACTGGGTCTGGAAATTACGTTTTTGGGTTGAAATAAATGTCTCCCCAAAGTCTCTGAGCAAATTCTGTATAGTTAATGTCGCCTGCAAACAGTAAAATAAAAGTTAATAAAGATTCTGATCCTTTAACATTAAAGACATAATAAAGATATCATATTAAGAGGTTTTACCGTAAGTGTCAGAGTAAATCTTTGCGAAGGAGCCCAAGGTGAAGCAGATACTGTACTGAGAGCTGGCAAAGCACACGTTTCCCAGAAGAGGAGACACCACCACATTCTCATCAGTGGAATATGTGCTAAAAGGAAAAGACAGTATTATAATATATAATGAAAGAAAATATAATGAAAGAAAAAAGCTTATATGTAAAATAACATTGTGACTATACCTCTTTAATAGTTTCTTTTTATGTATGTCATGATTAAATATGAGCTACAGGCTGCACTGCAATTTCCCTCAGGATTAATAAAGAGTCTATCTATAAACATCTAAAAAAAAAAAAGATTTAACCTTCATATTATTTTGGCCTAGATAATTTTGTGACTGTGTAGCTAAAAAGTTCTGATTGTGAATGTAAAACTGCTTTGAAAATAAGAAAGTAAAGAATGACAAAAATGCAACTGTCTAAAACACCAAATGTAGACTTCATAACAAAGGAAAATTATATTATGCAGATTTATCAAAATGACACTTAATTAATAACCATTAGTTTAGTGTACACTACTGCTATATTTCAGGCCCCATATGGATCTAAACTGCAATGTTAAGATGAAAAATGCCTATTGTCACAGCAAAGAACATTAAAGACGACATGCTTTTTTCCCCTAGTACCACTTAGTGTGGTGATTTACTTACATTGTAGTCTAATACTAAGTGCAGAGCTGTACGCAGGGACAGGGGTAGGTGAAAAAAGGGATTTTCTGAGCTCAAATTCAAGACAATGAAGGATTACTCAAACATACATGAATCAGTCAAAGCACAACCTTGAGCAAGCCAATGACAAGGGACTGTCGTTATAATATGGTAAAAACTGATAAAAAAAAAAAAAAAAAAGTCTATTTAGCATTTGTCCCCTTTAATATCTAGCTATAAAAGTTGAGTCAAGTTCAATTTCAAATATTACCTAAGCATTCCATTGACTTCATCCACGATGTGCCTGAGTTTGTAGTAAGCGTCTGTGGGGGGCAGTTTTAACTCCAGGATGAGACGGTCCACTTTGTTTATGCAGATCGTGATGGCCATTCGCTCCTGCACTGCGTGTTTGATCAGGCGCTCTGTGTTCAACATCACCTGCACACATACAAATACCAATTATTTAGTAACCCAGTAGAGACTATCTGGAGGTCTGGGTGTGGGTGAAATGACAAAAAAAATAAAAAATTCCCTCATATTTGATCACAATTTTGCATTTAATTTTATATTATCTTCATAAATGGGTTTCATTACATTGCATTTCATCACATACTTTCTTGAACGTAAACAAGAGAGACTTTTAATAATTGCTATTTAGAACTAAACAAAGCACAGGACAATTTCTTCCTCCAATGTCTGAAATCTCAAAACCCCACGCTTTTACTGACAGAGAATTAGCTGTGGATCTTTCAATTAAAAAGATCCACATTAGAGAATGCTATTGATTAGAGATGACTGAATGTTAGTCTCGATTAGAAATTACATTAATTGAAAAACCCTTGGAGACAGCATGTTTTGAAAATGTCATCTGCAGGAAACGAACGCCTAATTTCTGTTCACTGGCCTCCTCAACAACTTCATTGTTCTGGTCGTCACTCATGTCTACTGAGAGGAGAGAGCCAATTCAAAATAACCTCCTTAAGATATGATAAGATAAGAGTACATTCATTTGTCCCACAATGGGGAATTTCCAGTGTTGCAACAGTTCAAGAACAGCAAGACAATAGAAATAGGCACTCAAAAATCAAGATATGATGCGATATGATATAGTGATGATGGCCCACAGATACACCGTAAAAAAATTACAAAGTGCACCTTTAAACCTATAAATATTAAATCTGCTTCTGTCCTCTACTGCCCTTTAGTTTCTGTGGAACTAAAGAATAGAGCAGTAAATAGGCTTGTTTACAGAAAAGATCCCATCCCTAATCTGTATCAATTTCCATGTAAACAAGAAAAACTTACTCCTTCTGCAGCATCAATGAACAGGACAATTCCATCGGAAAGCCGGATACTGGACGTGACCTCATCGGAGAAGTTGACATGTCCAGGGGTGTCCATGATGTTGAAGAGGTAGGATTTCCCTCTGGAGTCTGGCAACACCATTGTGACTGGGGTACTTTTGATACCAACTCCTCTCTATGGAAAACCAAGCAATTCAACATAAGGAAAAGCAGCAAAAAGTACAGTAAAAATTATTATTTCCCAATTAACTTACCTCTTGTTCAGTAAAGAGTATGTCTGTGTACCGGAGCTAAAGTATAAATTACAGTTTATTATTACAGAAATTAAGTATAAAGAAAATGTCATATTTTAAGCGAAATATAGCACTTACATCTAAATCATCTCTTTTTCTGATTTCTGGATGTGTTTGTTCAATGAGGCAATCCACAAAGCAAGTCTAGATGGATAAAGAGTACACTTGTTAAATGCTTACACTGTTTAGGCATAACAAATTTTAAATAGATAGAGATAGAGAATTCAAGTTATTACAATTATTGTTCAATTTGCATAGTAAAAACTCCTAACCTTGCCATGATGAAGGTGACCACACAAGGTAACATTACGAATTAGCTCTGGACTGTCCATGAGATCAGCAAGAAATCTAAAAAACAATCAATCATAATAATCATCATATATAAAGAATCAAACAAGGTCAAATATAAGACATTGTGGTGAGGAGATCGTGTTTGTACATTACACAGATGAGAAAACTTACTCCATATCATAAACTGTGGCCGGTAATTCTTGCTCCATCAGTGTGAACTTCCTGTGTTTTACAGGTTTAATGATGGGCTCTGAAATTCAGAGATAATATGAGGTAATTCAGATATTTGCAATATGTCAAAACAACTTTATGAAATGAAAATTTAATTAGAGTAAAATAAGTGAGAAAATAAAAAATAAACTAACACATGACAAGTAACAGTTTGAGTTCTCTGTTTCAAATTAGTACAGCAAGAAATGTGTATATGAACATAACTAACAATATAAACTGCCAAATTGTTGTGTATAGCAGTTATTTAGTTTCTCTGGGTATCTCTCACCTGTGAGAGGTTGTGTGTCCTCTTCTTGTACAATAGTTTCCACCTCGGGCCCATAGACCTCCTCTGCTGTGGGGTAGTACTTCTTGTCCTCGTGTAAAACCACCTCCATCCCTGGAACATCATCATCGGCATCTGCAGGCTCATCGTCTTCATCATCATCCCCCTGTTTACAACATAAAAATAATAAAATAACTGAGATAGATATAGCAATGTAAAAAGCAGAGTTTTACACGTTACATTCACCAATTTACGCCAACAATGTTAGACCTAAAAGGTGATAATTATAAGAAAAACTAAATCAAGTATCTTTATTTATTTTAACAAGAACATCTGTTACAATCAGATCCATTGACCTAAAGGTTTGCGGTTCAATCTCAGCTTGCATAGGTATATATTAGCATTGTGTCCTTTGGCAACACACTTAACGTGCATAGTGTCTGTGTACACCAGTGTATGAAAATATGTGAAACTATCAATGGATGGATGAGTGGTTCTTTGAGCTAAAACACTTTTGAGTACTCATGGGAGGTGGAAAAGGCTACTACGCTACCACTCCTCTGAATTTATAATAACTGTTGCCAATGATAACATCTGATCAAACATTGTCAATAATAACACATAACATACTCATAAAACCAAGGACAATAAAATGTACCTCATCCATGTCTCTGTCCTCTGCATCCAGATCATCATCGTCATCATCTGAGTCCAGCTCCGGACCGATGTAGTTCCCAAACTCATCATAGAGATCTGCCTCCATCTTCAAACAAGCTGAAACAGTGGAAGAGACTCATAATTACAGACACAATGATAGAAAATAACAGGGAAATGATATGAACATTAAAAAAACTAACAAACAAAAAAACACAATGACCATTTTCTAAACAGCACCCACAGTGGAGTATATTGCTATCTTATACTTTTATGGTTTGCTTATTTATTTATTTTAATTTCAGGTAGTAAGATCAAATTGCTCATTTACACCTTTGTTCTCTTTCTCTGTGCAGTAGCGCTTTTGTTTGTAAAAGCTCTTATATAAAAGTAGATTTGGATTTATATTGATCAAAAATAAATAAACGGTAAACAGTTATGGTAGCAGCACGATTTCGTTATTATTTTGTGTCCTGATTAGACTATTATAGGATCGAATGTAATACTGTACACTTTCAGTACAACCCAAATCAGACCACTGTTAGGGATATGTTATAAAATGCAAACTTTGCGTGGAAGGCTTTTTGTTACACTGCAGATCAAACTCTATGTGCCTTGAGAGATTTACAGTGAATAGATCCTGATGTAGCATGCTAACCGCTAACATGCAAAAAATGAATGAGGCAACGTTACTGCTACGTTTCTGTTAAACAGAGAGGCTCTGCACAAGTAATGAACTTTTAACTATTACATAGGCAATGCGACGAAGTCTTACCAGCTCTCGATTAGGCAAAGCAGGTCTTTTTCTTGTATAAACAGCCTTAAAAGTTCAGATTTTTAGATAAATAATTCCCAAAATACCGCCGCCATGCGCACGAAAGCCTCTTCCGGTATTTCTTTTTCTGTGGGGTAGTCTGAGGCGATTCACTGCGCTTTACTCAACAGCGCCTCTGTCGAGTATTTTGGTTACGGCAGCTGCACACTTGTTGCGTTTGTCTTTTTGCCTTTTAGTCCCGTTAGGGGTCGCAATTTCATCACATTATTTAGGTATGAAATGAGCACAGTAGTAGCTCATTCATAACGGCAAAAAACTCAGAAATAAAATAAAGAAAACTTCGCACATCAGTTTCTTGAAAAGGGTGCGTAGGAGGAGAAGGTGCAACCCAAAAATATGAAAAGAGAAGAATCCCGTTTTTTTCTACCTTCAAATAACTCAGAAATCAAAGCACAGTAAGGGATTCGACTACTTATTATTCGTTATTGCCAAAGATGCTGAGTGTACAGCAATTCTAATAAACGTGTCTTTTGTGTGTGTGTGTGTGTGTGTGCCTGCGTGTGCGTGCGTGTGTGTGTGTGTGTGTTTATTTTTCAGAATAAGAACATGATCATTATTGTTAAACCTAATGCCATACATACTTTTTTTTTTCTTTTTTATCTTTTATAATTTAATGTTCTTGCTTTTCTGGTGGAAAATGTCTGCTATGCGTTCTTCTCTCTGGAGATGTTATTACTTAGCTTAAGGTTCCACGGTATGACAAGAACCTAATCTACTGTAGCCTACCTCCATGGAGACAAACAGGTGGTGTATTTCATTATTTTTTAGGCCTAACTTATCCTTAAATGTATGAATGAATACACATTTATCGGAGAATAATAATAAAATATGTGACGTTTGTTTAGAATGAATGAGCTAATTAAAGGCTAAAATAGGATTACCGTGTGGAGGTTTCTCTTTGTAGACAAACCCAACATAGAGTAAAAGACCAAGACTGTGAAGTGTAGGCTTAGTGTGAGGGAAGGTCAGACAAACGGGCTTCAGTTATGGCTTTATTCCTGCTGGTTTTTATGAACAGTTCAGCACAGCACAGACAGACAGGTAAATAATATACACAAAAACAAAATAAGACATTAGAGACATTACAAAATGACACTATAAAATATTTGGTGTGAAATCACAACCCTTAACTTAATTTAAAGATAACCTGACTGTTTTCTTTATAGGTATATAGCATATAGAATAATTTATAAAGACCAAGGAAAATTTGGCCTGGAGGCTACAATATAGGTTTGTTAATTAATTGTCTTAAAATGCCAACAACCTATACGCCTATAGCCTATCTCTGCAGAGAAGCTTTCGGAGGTGTAGACACCTATGTCAGAGTCATGGTCTTTTTTATCAGAATAAACAAAGAGGGGGTCATAATGATTAACCTGGCGATAGTGACCAGGCCAATGTTAAACGTGAGCTCGTGGCTGAGGCACGTTCGGACTTGGCACCACAGTGATCTGCCTTGAACTCTGCTCCATTCACCTGAGATTGAGAAAACTGTCCTTTGGGTATTTTTCCTCAGATTTTATTCTGCCACGTGTTTGCGCAGCCTCTGCACCACCTCATCGGCGCTCGCCCAAGGCACGGTCACCGCCTTGAACTCTCCGGGCGTGGCCTCGTGTGTTTCGATGATGAGACGATGCATGGGGAAGTCTCTGCGCGCGAAGGCGATGTCTCGTGGCCCCAGGCAGAGGGCAGGACAGAAGTCGTTGGCCCCATCGCCGACATAGAACACCCTCTGATACGGCCGGCCGCGCTCCTGCGTCCTGCGCGTGACGTAGTCGCGCAAGATCACCTGTTTGCACATGTTGACAGGACAACGTGGGCAATCATGAGAGTGGAAGGGCCGCAGCACGAGGCGGCCATCCTTGTTGAACGTGGCGGGGTTGGTGAAGATGCGGTGGAAGAGCCCACGTGCCCCTGTGCGCCGCAGCCATGACTCAATGAAGAAGGCGTTTGCGTCAGACAGCAGCACCACCTCGAAGTCGGTCTGCGGCCGCGTGCGCAGGAACTGGAAAAGCGTGAGCATGCCCGGCGTGGCGGGGATCTTCTCCATCACCGCGCGCATGTCACTCTCGGTAACGCCCTGCTCTGCCAGGTACCCGAGCACGCGCTGCATGTACTCATTATAACGGCCCGGCTGGTACGTGTCCTTGAGCCAGTCTGGTAGATATTGTCCCGGGGCCGTCTGCACCACCAGGTCATCGCTGGTCTCATCCACAATCGTCTCATCAAAGTCAAAGAAGATGATGAAGCGCTTATCAGACGGGATGTGGGGCGCGTGCGAGGCCATGGTCCCAGCTTCTTGGACCTGAAGGAGAGAAAAAAAGAATGAAGGAATGAGATGTGATGAGTCTCTTCGCACCACCAGTTCTTTCTGCATGAATTTCACACACGATTAGCACATACAGCAGTCTATATTAAGGTAACCCTCAGGCTCTGAGGCTTGTTTGTCTGGGAACGAGACACGCAACATAAACAACATTTACTGCGCGCGCAGAGCCATGGTGCGTAAAATGTAAATACTCTGTGACTCATATTTGGTTATGTTAAACTGCCCTAGTTACCAACACAGAGTCGTTGTGGATTTTCAGGACATTTCCTCACTGTTTTTAGTTTTCAGAGTGATTCATGAGTAGTATACAGATAACATACATTTTCACCGCTGAACTCAGTAACCACTACAGTGTCAGCAGCTCCGGATGAGCGCTCTCTAGCCTACAGCTCATACTCTACACAATATTCTCTCTATTCAGTTATGGAAAAACAGTCACACTTTACCCTCTGCCTTGGTCCGGTTGCGCACCGTGGCTCAGCTCCGACTCGTTTTCAGGGAAGACTTCCGCCGGTGGAAAGAGCGGAGCAGGATTTTTATGTGACAGTAGTCAAGCCCACTGTCGCTGATGGTGACATGACCGCGCCTCCAAGTCCGCCCCTTTAATAACAACTTACCTACCGTGCGCGTTCACGACGGTGGGAGCAACGAGAGGAGGGGGCACACTGCAAAGAGGAGAGCTTGTTCAGATGGTGTTCTGAATTTTCCATGCAGTAACTGAACTTCAGTGTCTAATGCTTCTTGAGACAGTACAGGCTCTATTATTTTACGTCTTAATTGAGAACAAAACATTTAAGTAGGAGTAAAGTTTGTAAATAAATGAAAACAGAATGCGTAAATCAACTGTTTGGAAAAGCCTTGCAATTAAATGGGGGACTGTGTTATACAAGGTCTGTCTGCAAACCAACCAGCCTAATTAGCAATAAAACATAACTGTCTTTACAACTGAGAGCAGAGACGACTTATCTGGAGATGTTCTAAAGAAGAAATGCTACACACGTCAGTTGAGCAAATGAGTGTTTATCATTTCAAAACCAAAATAGCAACTGGACGTCACTCCTCAACTGCTGCAAAACATGATACTAATTTATTACCTCTGCTTTAGACCACAAGTGGCTACAAAATGAACACGCAAAGCAAATGTTTTGAAAAAGAAAACGACTGGGGGAAAATTACCAGTCCTGCAAACACTTAAAGCTCCAGTATGTAAGTTTCTGGAGATGGTTCGTCACTTTTAAGTCCAAGGAAATAGAAATAGGACATTCTCCATGGAGTTAATTAAGATTTAGGCCATACTGTGGAACATTACAACATATCCACATAAACAAACAGGAGCAAGCAAGATAAGAGTTTGGTTTGTGGAGATACAAGTCCACTGACAGTAAGGACGTATGTTTTCAGAGCAATAACAATAATCAAAGTGAAAAATAAAGCTTTAATCTTAGTCTATTACACAATGTGGCGTTAAGGTGAATAATAAGCTTCTATAGAGGACAAGGAGATTCCAAACTGAGACATAAACTTTTAACTTTAACTTTTAGTGCAACTAGAGAATGATCAGCGCATTCAGCAGTGCACAAACTTTAGAGAAACGCACTGCCCTCAAATTGATAGCAAAAGCAATGAGGCCGTGTTTCCATTTAATAACTGCAGCCGGAAACTCTAGAGAGGAAGTTGATATTGTTTCACGCACGAGGCAGACGAGGCAGTAGTCGCAATAAAGGAGTACAAACACGGAGCTTAATGAGGCGCGCGGAGCGAGGGTGCGGAGACACGGTCCTCTGCTTATCTACGCGCTGACAGACACCCGAGCCTCCCGCGCCTCTCCACCGCGGCCGTAATGACGAACAGCTGGGGCGGGAGACTATTTTCAAACCCAAATGGGAATGGAGATGTAGCCTACAGACGTGTTATTAGCTGTGAGGAGAAAAAGAGAGGGAAGAGGGGAGAAGAGAGGAGAGAGCGCGCGGGGCACCTGACCACCCACTCAACACTGAATCATAGACTGCTCGCTCCAAGCAGTCCACCTTACACAGTCTGTGAATCACCACATGGAACAGCACTGTCTGTAGTATTGCATTTTAGGAAGGGGTTCAAACTAATTATGTTTACACTGTAACACTTTAGAATAACCACTATCTTTAATTAAGCCAAAACAAACATGTAATTCTTGATGAACAAATGGTTAATGTAATGATTCAAGTTTAGAGGTGGGGACAAATCATGACTTGGGCTCGAATCAAGACTTGAGTCACTATTTTTTTTGGACTTGAGACTTGACTTGATAAAATGGATGAAGACTTGGGACTTGACTTGGACTTGAGACCTGTGACTTGAGAAGACTTGATGCTTCTCCTAAAAAATGGATGTAACTGAAGTACTGTGAGATGGTATCCTCAAATGTCTTACACTCATATACAGTACAACACAGTACAATACAGTAAAATGGAGGGAACTACGTAGAACATGATCCGTCCATTTCAGTGCAGACAAAATAACTGCTATTTAGCACTTTTAAATCTGAATTCTTTCTATTCTGACCATAATGATTCACACTAAGATCTTGTCAGGACATTTAAAAAGGAAAAATTTACATTTCTACAACTCTTATATAAATACTCATATAAAATACCATGACTTTTTAAGTACAATTTAGTTTAAGTCATATAAATTGCAAAAATCTAAGCTATATTTGGTAGTTTGGTTTAAAGACTTTAAATGACCTGAAGCTCAAAGCAGACGACTTGGACTTGACTTGGACTTATGGGCCAGTGACTCGAGACTCGACTTGCACTTGCCTGTATTTTGCATGGGACTTGACTTGGACTTGAGGTCAAAGACTTGAGACTTACTTGGGGCTTGCAAAACAACAACTTGGTCCCACCTCTGCCTTTAGCCAACCATAACCCCTGACCTTAACCTCTTGATTAAATGTCCTATATTATGCAAACTCTTGTAAACTTTAAGTCACGGTATAATACTGTTACCTCCTCAAAACCATACCTGGACTTGTGTTTCATTTCATTCACACTTTTGAGAAATCCTTTATTATTAGTCTGTGTCTCCAAAGCTCTGTTCCCCCTTGTGATGTCATGAGGTGGTAGGGCCAAGTTAGCTACCTTTTATCTTTTGTTCAATATGATTGGTAAATCCAGTACTGAAATGATTTTAGTGAAGGTGTATGAAGTGTAAAAACACAGTGGAGCACTTCCTGTATCACCACATGACATTACAAAGTGGAACAGAGTGTTTTCATTTTGAAAGAAGCCTAAATATGCAGGATTTGTGTGTTAAACGTGAATGAAACAAAATACAATTACAGATATGTTTTGATAAGGAAACAACATTATAACAAAGATCTTGAAGTTATTCATCTTGTTAATTAATGAGGAGTAGTTATAAAGTGGTAGCAATAGCCATTACAATGAAAAGGGGTTCTGTTTTAATTTAATTTTGAAACAAGATGAGTCAGATGAGCCTAAGTAGGAAAGTAGGAAGCTACAAACAATAACATTTGTTCTGTACCTCATATACCGTATATAGATCACAATAACAAGGGAGATAATTTGGTGTCAGGCTTTGTTCTTGTTTAATTAAGGCTATGAGTAGTTATTTTAAAGTGGGCTTATCTGTACTGCATTTTAGGAGCTGGTTCAACTTGGAAAATGTGGATATATGTTTAAATAGATAAGCTTATGTAGTAGAAACTAAATACCCTGTTCAGTAAATATAGATCACACTACAAAAAAAAAAAAAAAAAGACATACGTAATATGGTCTCATGCACAGACATTGACCATGGCGTTACAAATACACTGTCAATAATTCAAGTTAAGCAATCAAAGCAGTATTGGACTAAAGTGAATTCAGCCAAAGAAGGAAAAGGACACTACAATCTGAGCCACAGCACAAATGACTATTTTCAAAACAGAACCCCATATTTTAGGTTGTACAATGGCAAAAATGTCTCTCCATATAAGCAGACTGCCTTTGCATACTTTTTCAGTAATGTAATTAGGGACCTAAACATACTAAATTGTAGACTATTCTCTGTCCCTGTTATCAGTCATGTTCTTTAAAGACAGGATACTATTTACTACAAAGGCAGAGATGGGTACAACTCAAATGCATTTACCCAAGTAGATTTAAAGTCCTATATTATGAAAATGTGACTCTTTTGCTTTTGGTCATGTTAGAATGTTGTTCCCTTGTCAAAAACATATCTAGAGTTGTGGTTTTGTTTCTTTTGGATAACTCTTGATTACCAGTCTGTTCACATCTCCAAAGCTCAAAATGCTCTGTTCCACCCTGTACTATTACAAAGCTGTATTTTCCAAGTGAACAGCTACCTTTTACCTTTTTATTCAGTACAGATGTGCAATTCCAGGGATCAAATTATCCAAATGGTTCTAGTAAATGGGTATGCAATTTAAAAACACTATTACTGCATGACATCACAAGGTGGAACAGAGAGAGAGAGAGAAGAGCTCAGTCTAAATATGCAGGGTTTGTGTGTTAAACAAGCGTGAATGAAACAAAACACAACTCCAGGAATGTTTGTGATGAGGAAGCAACATTACAACAGCGTAATATGGGCCCTTGAACTTGAGTACCCTTTTCATAAAATTGTACTTCCCACACACCGACTGCTACTTATGCATCAGTAACATTTTTTACAATGTCATGATACTGTTACTTCAAAGTTTTGGTTACTCTGGTTCCCTTTGTGAATTTGTCTATAAGTAACAAATGTTTAATGTTGACAATTTGAGTTTCTTGCATCTCTCCTTCAGATGTGACACAGTTTTTCTTACATTTACTTTTCATCCAATCACAATATGCCAAAATATAAATCTGATATTGCACTCTAACTGGACCACTATGCTTTACTTCTAGTTAGGCACAAAATTAATAATAGAGTAAAAGTTTAAAAAGTATTAACAAATAAAAAGTAATAGAGTTTTGAAGTAATCTTAGTTGTGTACATTGTCAGGCTACTCCATCCACCTCTATTCAAAGCAAAATATCGCATCACAAATGGAAAAAAGGATGTACGCTGAACAGCTCACGTGTTATGAAAACAAAACCATGAGGTCAGCTGCTGCGTCTGCTTTTTTGAAAAATTGCCAAGAACTCAGTGACCTGACACTGGTAATAGTAAAGCCTGGCACAGGTGTTCCATGTTTTTCCAATTATTTCTTGGTTTGGTGGGATAATACTTGACCTGAGCTGAGCTAAATATTTATCTCAGTTTTACACCAGTTAAAAATGTGTGGAAAAAAGTTGAGAAGAAAAGTACAAAAATACAAGAAATAGTGCTGAGTTCCAAACCAGAAAACCTCTAGGCCTACATATAGATGTCATCAACAACGAAAATGCAAAAATAATTTACGTAAGGTATTTTTTTGACACTTTAAACACTGATTTAACTAAATAGAGGTGCTGTCATTTATTTTTTATTCATCTAGTCATAACTATTGTGCAATTTAGAAATGTTTGGTCCTTGTAAACATTATGGTTGCTTAGTAACAGTAGGTAGGTAACTGCCCGAGTCCTACCAGGAAGTAAAAATATAAATGTATAAAAATAAGTGCCTATGACCGGTTGGATTACTAATTTTTCTAAAACACATTTAACATCATTAGGTTTAAGATTTTACTAACAAATTTATAAATGTTTCCCGTTTGGCCAGTTTTTCAGGTTTAAAATTTGACTTCCTGGTTGTAGAGCATTAGCCTGATTCATCAGCTGGTTTCACTTCGTAGAAACCGTCTGACCTCGCAGCGTTAGGATTCGTTCGCTCGATGTTAGGTGGGTACTTTTTTATCATTTAATCAATTGCTGCTATTTGGTCATGATGTATGTAATGCACTGCTAATGGAGCTAAATGGTAAATTAAGCTTTTCCCAGATTCCGTAGGAAGAAGGACAATAACTTCTTTCCCCTTGATAAAATTCACCAAACATTCTCTTTGTTCCAGCTTTAAATCCTCGATACTGGTAATCGTTGCCAACACAGTATGGTTCTTCGCTGATTGGCTGGTGCCCGAACTCACACTTTCAGGGTTTTTGCGAACTGTCTAGTGTATTCTGATTCCTGACCTAGTCGCTGGAGAAAAATGAAATTGAGTGGAGGCACTAGGTGGTGACTAGGAGATCATGGCATCACACTTAGGAATTCCATAACTGTTACCAAGCATCCATGTGGTACACTGGACTAAAAATCCTCTAATGTACAGATTATTATTTGACAAATAGAAATATAATAAAACACCTTTATTTGATTAAAATTATGTTCAAATTATGTTAAAGATACCAGAAAAAAATGTTTCTAGTGTGTAAATTGTGAAAATATTTTGGATAGATGTTGTCAATATGGAACGCTCTAAAACAGAACTCTCAACTTCCTTTAAATTTTAACTTTTCTTCACAAATTTCTTCTTGATTGGCGTAAAACTATTATTTAAATGTACAACATGTATTTTCCCACCAAAATATGTCAACATTAGAGAATCACCAGAACCTGTCATATGTACTTGTACTTTTTAATAATACATCAACAGGGTATCTCAGAGTTTGACTACCCTAAATTTAAGACTCATTTTAAGACCGTTTTAAGACCACTTAAATGAAAATTAAGGCCAACATCGCACCCATTATGCTGGCGAAAAAAACACCAGGTCTAATTCTAACAATGACCAACCAACTACCAGTACTATATCTAGAATCTAAGACTACGTTTATATGATGACGGTCTGAACAGAAGATGCAAAAGTGGCATCATCAAAGCGTCTTCACTTTTTATTCTGTGTTTAGATGAGCGTTTTCGGGAGGAAATCTGCGTGCATACGGTAAAAAAACTGTGTGGATTTCGATTGGGTGCATGCCAGGTGGAGATGTATGTGACGTAAACGCGTCTGCGACATGAGCAGATCTGACCAGAGTTTTGCATCTTGGGCAGTGTAGACAAAACTGATTCGTTTTTGGCGCTGGCGGCATGAGTATTGTTTGCGCATACTCCAAATTAGTTTTTGTTTTTGTTGTATTGTTTTTTTTTTACCCTCCCTCCATTTAAAATTGCACTGCAGCCAGGTTGAGTAAACAAAAAAATAGACTAATGAAATTTGAGACCTTTGTGGAAAAAAATAAGACTTGGACAACATAATTTAAGACATTTTAAGGCCTTAATTTAGGAACATGAAATTTAAGACCTTTTTAAGACTTGTAAGACCTCTCGGTGACCCTGATAAAGTTATCTATGAGTGAAATGAGTACTCTCATTTTACACGTGCATTTTAAGCTGAAAAAACATGTTTGAACTTTGACATACTAACCTATATCCAAGACCCATTTCAGCAGCATTTTTTGCAGTGGGTTGTCAGTGTTTAAAGATAAGAGACACACAAGGTTATGATAATAATGGCTACTGGTTTACTTCTCAAAGTTAGCAGTCAGTTATTGTACAGTTATTGTACATTATCAAAAAAGGCCCACTTGTTTCCATTTCTCCTCAAACTCCAGAAAAACATACAAAAAAGACAAACTGGGACATTATAAAGCTGCACATTTTGTACCAGATACAATAATAAAAATACGTGATGCTACATTAAGTGGTTAAAATACAAAGGGGGAAAGTATATTGATTTTTTAAACATCTTTAAAGAATATACAATGTTATTTTTATTAACTAACTAGCCAAGGATTTTAGTAAAAAGTGCATTCTAGTTCACAAAGAAAGGAGGAGTATTGTAGGCAAAATGAATGACCAAAAATTAGAGAGAATGTTTTAAACAGAAATACAATAGTGAAGATGACAACGTAGTTAACACTTAAACTCAAAAAGGTCCAAACAGGAACTTTATAACACCAGTCAAGCATAATATTATGACCATGAATTTTACAAAGTTTCAATTGTGATAGCAGGACAAAACGCAAAAATGCAGTTCTTGGGGTATGTCCAATCTGCAATGTTTATTAAAAAGTGCTTAAATTTTGGTAATGCTGGTTCAGAATGCTTGGGAAGAACACAGTATTCAATTTTAAAGGTGCACACCATAACTTTTCTGGTAGACGGGTCTGTCACCATATTCCTATGGCTGGAATGTTCTACAAAATAGCATTAAACTTATCCATCATAGCCATGGAGACCATGGAGACAGGTCAGGATGAGGCAACAGCACTAGGTCAAATCTGTGGAGATGCAAGCCCACGTAAGCAAGCATGCATGTTTTTCAGGACATTTTTGAGTTGTTAAACCACCTGTTCCATTCAAGATGGATAGACAGTTGTAATACCATACTGTGGAACATTCTGGACAAAAAAAAAAATCAAAAAATCTATTGCTTGCTTTCAGATGATGTCAAAAACAACAACAACAAAATTCTATAGGCCAATAATACTAAACGCACCTAAAATTAAAATAGTTAAAATGCAGGTTTTTGTTGTAACAAGGGAAGTTCATGGGTTTAGTTCAGAACAGAAATGTTCCGGTTACATTTCTGAATTTATCTTTTGGACATTTCATGGCAAAGTATAATTAAAATCAGTAGGAAAAACTGGGTTGTGCCCTTCTCCCCATTTGAGAGTATGACATCAAACTCTAGAATCTGAAAATCACAAATGGAGACTTGCAGGTAATGGACATTCCACCAGAAAAAGTTGCAAAGTGCGGCTTTAAGAGGGCTCATTTCATTTAGGCAGGTGCCAGGCGGTCATAATCTTTTGCCTGAATGAATTATCTATCCACCGCTACCATCCTCTGACCAAATGTTTTCTCCTCCTTTCCTTGTCTTAAAAACATCCACTCAAACGTCAACTCTTTCGCCGTTTTCACCAAGTGACTGCACTTGGCTCCACACAATGCATTGTCAGACCCTCCCTTCCCTGCGCCTCACCCACGCAGCGGTAAAGTGCAGAGAATACACGCAAATAAAAAAAAAAGGCTTTCGAAATTATATACAAAAGACAAAACTCCATGTGGCAAAATGTTAGCTAAAGCACAGCAGTGAACCTGGGGGAACGATTAAGATACCCACCGGTATGGCAGGGTAATTGTAGGGCTTGAATTCAAAAAGGGGACAGGCTAAACTACAGAGATTAGCCGCTCAAGACTGAATGCTAACACAATGGCAGCAAGAAGTTTGTGTTTAAAAGGTACTAATTTTACTCATTAGATATTTCCACATATTTCCGTATACCTAATGGGGCACTATGTATAAAGCAGTTTTTTAGGTGCAAGAGAAAGGAAATGCAAATACACATAGGGATGCACAGATCCAGCGTTTACTGTTCCGATACTTAAAGCCAAAGTATCGGTATCTACCAGTACCCGATAGCAACCGATAATAGGACTCAAAATATAATTTATTTTCTTTAAAAAATGAATGATCAAGATGTGTTTTGTCACTACAGAACAGCTTTGTAAAAATACAAGTTTCATCTTATGAGATGTTTCTGGCCAGTAAATCATCTTATTTCAACAATTTATAGACCAAAATGGGAAATTAGCTGAACTGATATTTTAGAAGCCCATATCCAAAATTTTCATTATCGGCGCCAGTATCAGATACTAGGATCGTATCAATACATCCCTAAATAATACACACCTCTGCTACCAAAATAGACGAATCAACGCTGATCTGAGTCTTTCCAATAACATTCTCAAATGTAATGACACATTTTCATATAAAATGTGGTACATTTTACGACTGTGTCTTGTCCTAACATTTCCTATGCTAATTGCGTAATAGCTAGTAACAGTTTAGCTAAACTAGGAGCGATGCTAAGAACAAAAACTTATGTGTAGGCAACATTCAATGCTTTTAGACATATTTGCTTATAGACCAGAAGACGAGATTGACATAATTTGAGTAATGCTAGCTAAATGGTTGTAAATGTTCAGATGGCGGTCCCAGGTGAGTAGTACAGATCGGAAAGTGAGAATGACATAATCTGTTATACTAAAAGTGACATGATACTCCCAAATAACCACATGTATTGTTGTGATAAAGGTCCCAGGTGAGTAGTACAGGTGTGAATGACCTTTTGAACCCGTATTGTTGAACAGCAGCAGAGGAGGTGTGTAGATCCTGATGAGACCAGCGTTAGGCCTCTCACAGTGGCAGTAGTGTCCTGTTTAAAACGTACAAGCTTTCCCCGACAGTTAGAAAAGTTGAGGTTGAACTGAGCTGAACCAGTGGCAGTATTGTTTTGTGTGTGCTTGAGAAACGCTAGGTGTGATAGCCTTGGGCCGAACCTGCAGAACGTGGATCGTGTCATAACAAAATCTTAAATCTGGGTCTAAAACCCAGACATCCTTGATAACTACATCATTTTACGATATTTAACTGCAGGAAATGAAATAAAAGGAAAAAAACATGGAATGAACAGCACCTTTAACTTTGTTGTGAATCTCATTTTGGTCCAGATTCACTGAACATTTACAAAACAGTTTCCTATGTCCTCTTCACAAGTCCTCCTTCCACTGTAACCTATGGCACAGCTCTGTCTCACTGTTAATGTCTCTCTGAGGGAAAGCTTTGCTCCAGGGTAGAGAGGGTTCAAACATTCATTAAGCATTTGTGTATCTCAAACCCAGAGCGCGTGGAGTATTGCTGTGAGAGGACCAGCCCATAAAGTCCCCGCTCTGACCAATGTGCAACTGAAGGTCACTTTAACACGAAGAGAACTGAGCCGTGAAGTCTGTAATGTCAATGCACGCCAGCAGCTTTGGATAAAACGAGAGATACTTTACACCCATGTACTCTAACTATACTGAGAGAGATGAGAAATGAAATCTACAGGATTTCTGTAAAATTCATGATTCTGAGATACTGAAAGGTCCTATATTAGGCAAAATTGACTCTTGTAAGCTTTAAGCCATGTTATAATGTTGTTATCTCCCCAAAAACACACATAGAGTTGGGTTTTGTTTCATTCACAGGTTTAAGTAACTCTTTATTGTTGTTCAAAACGCTCCGTTCCACCTTGTGATGTCATGAAGCAGTAGTTATCTGAACAAAAAGTAAAAGGTAGCTGTTATCACGAACACATTGACAATTGACAAAGACTAAAATCATCCAAATGTTCCTAGTGACGGTCGATGAAGTTTAAAAAACTCAGTGGAGCATTTCCAGTATCACCACATTGGGTGTTAAAAATGTGTGAATGAAACAAAACACGACTCCAGGTATGTTGTTGATGAGGAAACAACATTATAACAGATCAGAAAATAGCGTAATGTGGACCCTTTAATCTAGAGGTTGCAGCTGTTTGAAGAGGTTGCTATGCGTCTTCTGTGAGGCAAGATCAGGACGGGGGCAGGGACTGGGAGACGGCGGCGGCTCAGTGCTGCTGGGGAGCCTTCTCTGTGGGGCCCATGTGGTGGAGGTAACTGTCCTCGTGTCCGCAGTGGTTCAGGCCCTCGCTCTTGAACAGGGCGGGGGGAGGGGGCAGGTGGGATCCGGGCGGGACGGTGAGGAGGTGGGGCGGGGCATTAGTGAGGTGCTGCTGGGGCGTGGCGGGGTGAGGGTGGTGGTGAGAGGGGGCGGAGGGGAGCTGTACATGTGCGTACGTGTGTCCCATGGGTGCTCTCTGGGGGATGGGTGCTGCGGAGACGCTGAGGCCCATGGGTGCAGAGGAGGAAATAGGTGCAGAGGTGGAGACAGGGGCGGGTGCGGAGGGTCCCGGGCTGGGGGCGGTGGAGAAGGTGTTGGCGAAGACGCGCACAGGGACAGGGGGCGCGCTCTGGAGAACCATAGGGGTCGTGACCCGGAAGCACTTCTCCTTGTGAGCTTTGAGCATGTTGGAGAAGCGGAAGCGTTGGCCACACACCTCACAGGGGTACGGCTTCTCTCCTGTGTGCGTGCGGCGATGGCGTTTCATGTTTGGGCGACTGGTGAAGCTCTTCCCACAGATCTCACAGATGAACGGCTTCTCTCCTGTGCACAAAATATATGCAGTGATTAATCACAATGATATTCTGATATTCATAATCGTTGGACTATAAAACATATCTAAACCACAAACAAAAAGACCTTAAACAAAGATAGTAGTATTATTAAATGGCCCATATTAAGCAGTTTTCTGATCTATATTATAATAATGTTTCCTCATCAAAAACATACTTGAAGTTGTGATTTGTTGTTTCAATCACACTGTGTGGCTAAGTTCTTCTCTCAAACTGAAACAACAGACAAAACAGTCTGTTCCACCTTGTGAAGTCATGTGGTAATACAGGATGTTCTCCCCTGTGTTTTATACACCCCACCCTTTCACTAGAAACATGTGGATAATTTCAGGGAATTTTGACCTGGAATTGAGAACCGCTACTGAGCAAAAGGTAAAAGGTAGCTGTTAACTTGAAAACTACCACTACATGACATCACAAGGTGGAACAGAGCATTTTGAGCTTTTGAGATGTAGACAGACTAAATAAACGGGTTACTCAGACATGTGTAAATGAAACATAACACAACTCCAGGTATGGTTCTGATGAGGTAACAGAATTATACAATGGTTTAAAAGCTCACAAAAGTCAACTTTAATTATTTGAAAATATTCTCCATTTAGAAGCCTTCAGTCACTTTATTTCCAGCAAAACAGTGCTTGGCCTGGTTAGTACTTGGACGGGAAACTTTTAAGTGCCACAGTGGAGCGGCAGTGGTTAGTATTCTTAGGCAAGACACTTCACCCACATTGTGTGTGTGTGTGGTGGATGTGGTGTGTTTGAGTGTTGGTGGTGGTCAGAGGGGCCGATGGTGCAGATTGGCAGCCTTACTTCTGTCAGTCTGTCCAAAGGCAGCTGTAACTACAACAGTAACTTACCACCACCCAGTATGGATTGACTGACTAATGAACTAAACTGTAAAGTATCTTGAAAAGTTCTATATAAGACTAATGCATTCATATGAGTAGTAAAATAATGATTTGTTACAGCTTTAAAACACCTCAAACACACACATATACACTAAAAACATCAGAAAAACATCAGCGTCAAAGCAAAGCCATAACATTTCCAAGTGACATTTAGAGTTCCACTTTTACATTTCGCCCCCAAACACAGACAGTTCTTTTCAGCGCCCGTCGCCATCTTGAGTTGGAGGTCTTTGCTGCCAGCCCACCCACTCTGCAGGGAGCCATTACAATTCACACTCTGAGGAGCGCAGACGAGAAACTGAACAACAGTAACTGCGTTGGATTGCCGCTCTCATTAACCTCCCTCCATGGAGCCTTCCAATGTGCAGCACCCACCCACACAGCCAGCTATTAGCATGCTGCTCAAGGGCTCTCCGACTGCCTCACTGTGGCATACGACGCGTGAACTCATCCACGATCAGAAAGGTGACAGCTAACGTGCTAATCCAGTACTTGTACGGTTAGCCTTTTGGAAAAGTTTGGGGGGAAAGCAGACATTTTAGGAGTTAAACCAGCATCACTACATGCTTGGGTGTGTCCCTGTCCTGCAATGGCTAAATTAGCGGCTAGCTCTGGGAAAAAGAGAGGGAACAATAATTACACATCGCAAATAGAATAGTAGCCGTGCACCCACCCACGGCAGCCATTGGAATACAGTGAAAGACACACAGGATATAGAGCCAAGTTTAGCCATAGAAATAGCAGTGTGGCAGGGCTGAAACATGTGTCTGGCCATTCATTACAAACCACAATATATGCACAGCTCTGTTTGAAGCGGCTCCTCCCTCTCATTACTAAACTGGGCGAAGTCTCCAAGTGCGTTTTACTGTAACGTTCATTGCGGGCTGCTTTCCTTTTTAGGGAGATGTTGGAGACCAGCTGACTGCAAGGATAAAGTATGAACTGTGAACAGGACATCTCAGTAGCCACATAAATTTTTGCATATTTGGTAAAGCAAAAAAGCAATAAAATGTTGGAAAAGATTTCACTTTCTTTTTTAGACTGCACAAGGAATGCTTGACTATGGAAAGAAATGTGTATTATTATGAATTATTTAAAAGTGCATTAAGTAACTTCTGGAGAGAATCTGCAACCCGTTTGTCTTCATGGAGATGTTTGCGTTGGTTTAAATTTTCTACACTACAGTACTGAACTAAAGTGTCTTGCTTGGTGTCTTGGAGTGCTCAAAAATATCTTAAAAAACATAAATTCTTACTGTGAGTGAGGTCGCATCTCCACAAATCTAACCTGTAATTTGGCATGCAAGTCTCCATGAAGGTTCTTAAGTGTATGGCCATACTGTGGAGCATTCTAGATCCATCTCCATGGAGACAAGCAAGTGACTGATCTCCATAAGGAAAGTGACACATAATTGTGATTTTAAGTATGCATTAAACGTGCACTGACGATTATTTGCTTCAGGATCACATAGGTAATTGGCAAGCCAAAAATAAAGAGAACAAACAGATTAAATGAAAATAGGTGCAGTATCTCACAAACACTGCTGTAAACATACTCTACATGTATGTAAATTGAACACATATTAAAAGTTGCAATAATCATATCATAATCTGATTAAATGCACAGCTATATATTGTACTTTATAATAGTCTTTTATAAACCAAATCAAAATTCTTAACATCAAAATCTCTGACATGTTAGTGCCATATGAATCATCTCACACTCTCCTCCTACTGATTGCCAGTGTCAGGACTAAACATGGGAAATCAGCTTTTCAGTTTTACACAGCTAAAATCTGAGTCTTCCTGAAAATGTGAGACAGGCCTCGACTTAATATTCAAATCCAGGCTCAAACAGCTGTTTATCTAATTCAAAGATTATCTTTAATTATCTTTCCTCATCTGTAACGCTCTTTGGATTAGTTATGTATACAGAATGTCTTCTACAAATAAACTTGTATAATCGAAAGTACAACAAGTGAAACTGGTCAGTTAAGTCATGCAGGAGTAGTAACTCACGCAGCTTTGACATCTACTTGTCTATATCCTCTATGTCCACTATTGTGAAATTTAACCAGTCTTTTTTTCCCCTCAGATGACGTCTTTAGCCCTAGTTTAGTCTTTAGTTAATCTGTATATCTGAACTGAATGTGCTGTGAAATGTATGTATGTATTATGTCACAAGCTCAAGATTAGACATTACTTTACTGTATTACCGGTACTACATTAGATCCAAAGTCCCCAGTCTCTGATGCAATAGGGGCAACACACAAAATAAAACAGGAAAAGAACTTTTACCTATATAATAATCTGACATGTTCCATTTTCATATTTTAGTATTGCAGTTTTCTTTCTTTTTTAATCAAAATGGGAACCCTAGTTTACTCTACAAGTGTACAATTCTACCACATAAGATAGTCACGACATAAGTTTGCCTTAGTAATAACAAAACTAAAAGTTAAAAACTAAAAATTAAAAACAGGATTTATCTATATTACTCTGACAAGTTCCTACTTTTTTACTGCAGTATTTTACTCTGGTTTTTCTTCTAAATTGTAACTTAAGCCCCAGTTTAGTCTGGAAGTGTAGAACTGTGTCACATAACTATGACTTGTAACTTTAGTCCGTGTTTAGCCTTCAGTCAAATCTGTTGAAATGAGACACTGAGGTCTGCTTTGAATGCACAATAACATCCTCTACAACTGGAAAGTCCATGTGCTGCAGCACGAGTTACACTGATAGATGACACAAAGTGTGGTACATCTCAAAATTGTTACACCCAGTTCACACAGCTCAAAACAAGCTGAGATTTCTATACTTATCAAAGTATTTCTAGACAGAGCACATTTATGTTAATTTACTAGGGATGTCAAAAGCATAGAAAATCAGATACTAAATCGATACAAAACCTAGTATCGAAACTAGACACTCATTTGAGCAGGTATCGATACTAAAAACAGACAGAAATGAACCTCTCCTGAGTAGCTTTAGAATTATGATGAGCTGTACCACTGTGGAACCTACCTGGACTACTGAACAGATATAATGTCACATGGTAAAAGAAAAGAAAAGTGTAACATATTTATAATATATTTAATGTTGAAAATCACATTTTACTGTCTAAAGAATTTGTGTTTTTAATGATCATCATTGAGTATCAAGTCTATTCCTTAGTATCAAAAGAAGAGTTTGAAATTTTACTATTGTGCCAACTCTACACTTTACTACACAAAATAATTGGAACATAATCTTTGACCCCATTTTAGTCTTCAAAAAGTAAAGTTTCATTCGTAATCATAGGCAATAACTCAAGACCTTCTTGTTGTGAGGTTCGAGGGCCAACCACTGCACCACAGAGCTTGATATAGTCATACACAAAGGCTGAGTTTACACTTGCACATACACCACATCATAACTGGGACTAAACCAGGACTAGACCAGAACTAAACCAGGACTAGACCAGAAGTAAACCAGGACTAGACCAGAACTAAACCAGGACTAAACCAAGAGTAACCAGGACTAGAATAAGACCACCAGTTCTACATCTGGACTATTATGGGTTCAAACCAAGACCAAGTCAGTGTGGCCACAGCCTAAAACAGCTTAAGTTAAACAAAATCAACTTCCTCCTTTAACTATGGTCGGGACAGGATCTCATGCCACCACATTGTGCAGACGTGTGTAGAATGATCTTGTGATAGTGTTTCCATGTATTTACAATTGGCACGAACAAAAGCAGTTATAAAAGGACATCAAAAATAAAATGGAAAATAAGTACACAATTGTAAGGCCCAAACTGTCATCTGATCAGCACAATTTATTGATTATATTTGTCAAAATGTTGTTTTGTATTGTTTTTGTAAATGTGTCTCGTTTCATTCTTAGCTTTCAGTGGCTGTTTATGTGCACAGCAAAACCATAACTAACATTATCTGATTTATAGACTTATCAGATGACAGTGGTTTTGTTTACATGTATACCGAAATCTGATTTCTAGACCTTTAAAATGACTTAAATGACATGATAACACCAAAATCCAATGTGAGTAATCAAAAGGCCCATAATCAGAAAGAAATGTGATGATTTGGCTTTTTACATTTCGTTTAAATAATTTTCTAACTCTGAAAATGTTATATTAAATCAGATTTTGAGCGCGCGTATAACCACAGAAAGTCTGATGTGAGTAAACAGATTTCTTTCTGATTGCCACAATAGTTTGCCCTTTTTTGCATAATTTTCCTTGTCAAAACTGGTTCTGAACAAAGGCAAAAACTAAAAGAAGTGTTAAAGATGTTTTTTTTTTTTTTTAATCAAGTGTGCTGTGTCTTCCAAATACAACAGTGCTCTGAAAATCATCAGGTTTTTGATTATCAGATATTTGGTTTGCTCAAAGTTGGGACATTAACTTAAATTAAATGTAAAAATAAGTCTCAGCCATTTCAGCCGGTCTCAAACCGTAAAGAGAACTACTTTTTTCTTTTCAGTCAGATTTAAAATGTAGTGGAGTAGAAAGTACAGATACATGGTCTCAAATGTAGTGAAGTAAAAGTATCCACTGTAAAATGTACTTAAATACAGATAGCAAAGGAGAAATTAAATTCTGTCAACTGGAGAACTTCAATTCTGTCAACTGGACAAAAGGATTGTCTTTCCTTTCTTTGAACAGAAATGGAGGCCTCAGACATCATCTATCTCCTATTTACAACTCCATCCTCAGACCTAAATCAAAACAAAGAAAACAATAGTGATAGCCTGTTCAAGCTCAGAGGTGTGAAAGCATCCATCAAGGGCCTGAATGATTATGCTAATAAGACTCAGGCACAGTCCCCAGTTCGATAGACCCGGCTAACAAACAGAAACTGTAAGTAGATGTAGTTTCTGAGTAGTTTCAGTGTAGTTAGCTCCTCCCTTCAGGCACATATAAGGCAGTGTCCACCAGCAACTTCACCAGAAATGAAGAAGTAGCTTGGATGAGCAAAAAACTTTTGTCCAGTTGACACAGTTGAATTTCTCCTTTGCCATGGACCCTACCAGGACGACTGAGGGATTTCACAAATAAAGTACAGATACATAAAATTGTACTTAAATATTGTTCTTCTACTTTTGCATGTCGTTACCTTCCACCATTGTACAATACACACTCTTGTATAAGTGAAAGTACCTGTGTGTGTTTTCATGTGCTCGTCGAAATACTGCTTCATGTTGAAATCTTTGCCGCACCACTGGCACATGAACTGCTTGTGCCCGATGTGGATGCTCATGTGAGATCGCAGCTGGTATTTGTACTGGAAACGCTCGTCACAGTTCTGCACAAAAACAAAATAATGACACAGAAATGTATTAACACCAGAGTAAAGTTACTACTGGAATAAATCAAAATCTTCTGCTAAATAAGGCGTTTATATTCAAGATGCTTTCACTCCTATTTAAAGCACAAGTTTAGACCCAAAGAAGTTTTTAAATCTGTCTAACTTGTCCCTAGATCTTTAAAACGTCATAGATTGACTCTTAAATTGACTCTTGTGAGCTTTAAGTTATGACCTCAGAAACATACCTAGAGTTGTGTTTTGTTTCATTCACGCATCTTTGTGTCACCCTTTATTATTAGTCTTTCTCCATCTCCAAAGCTCAAAATGCTCTGTTCTACCTTGTGATAATTTGAAAACTACCACTTCATGACAACAGCTACCTTTTACCTTTAATTCAGTAGAGACTAGGATTTCCAGGGCTGAAATTATCCAAGTTATTCTAGTGAAGGTGTATGGAGTTTAAAAACCTAGTGGAGCACTTCCAGAATTACCACATGACATCACAAGGTGGAAGAAAATGTTTTCTGAAGAGAAGAGCTCAGTCTAAATATGGACTTGTGTGTTAAACATGCGTGAATGGAAGTAAACACAACTCCAGGTATGTTTGTGATGAGGAAACAACATTATAGTTTACATCAGAAAATATCATAATATGGACCCTTTAATATCCACATGTATACATTCTCAGGCAAGAACACAGCTTCAGAAGTGTTTTTTTTTTTCACACACTAAAGTGAAACTGAGGTGGACCGCTTAAGCACAACCAATCAGAACGCTGCTTTCGATACCAACTTCTGGCTTGACGTGAAGTAAAAATACTTTATTATTAGCTACAAACAGTGTTCAGAGATCTAATTTTCTGGTGGCCCAGCTTTAAGCACAGAACACAAATGGGAATTGTTATGCTAAAGAAATACACTTGCATATTTTCAAGTATGCAATGCTGAAAATAAAACTAAAACAAGGCCAGAAAAACAGCAGTTTGAAATAGGTTAAAATCTTATTTAGTGACTCACAAATTGTATCCAGGCCACAGGACAATTGGCAAGTTAATCTTTTAGGAATTGAAGTACATTAAGTAGGGACTGAAAAAAAACAAACAGAAAAGCTCAGTTTCACTTCACTTTTAAAGATTGAGAAAGGAGAACCAGTCCATTTAAATATGACGAATGATTTGCATGTTGGAAAGCTGGTTCTCTCAATATTGTCAAAAGCAGTGGGGCATGAAGTACTCAATTTTGTTAAGTAAGTTAAAGGTTGTATAGAGGATTTTTTTGGGGAAGAGAAATACAGCGACAGTCCTTGTGCGTGTTCAGAATTACTGTTGAAGTTTCCTGTCTAGAAGTAATTCAGCGACCGACGCGTCAGTTTTTAGACCCTTCGTCTGCTTCGGTCGCGCCATCGCTGGACGAGATCTCCAAGAATCACCTCAGTTTGGTTTTGCTCCTTTTCCTCTTCTCTTCTTCTTTCAGCGACCTCAAAAACTGACTTTCTTTTGCGGCGAACTGGTCGTGGATTCTCGTCCACCGTCGCGACAAACTTTGTGCGAAATGCGAGGAAGTGACAGTTCGAAAAAGCCTCTAAGAACCGCTGCGTAAACCACGTAATCCCTGCGCTCCGACGAGTCAGTTATACTAGGGAGTTTGATTGACAACCCAACAGCCAATAGAAAATGAGGGAGCCTCGTTTTCTATTGGCTGATGTTTATCTGGCCTCACTACGTCCACAGTTGATAGATTTTCGTTCTTTTTTTTTTGGTCATCATAATTACAAAGCTGCTGCGTCTCTGTAATGGTATTTTAATCTTTCACTGACAGTTTGAAACAAAAAAAAATCCTCCATACAACCTTTAAGTAAAAGTACAGATACTGGGGCAAAAAAATTTAAAGTAAAAGTATAACATGAAAAAATCTACTTAAGTAAAAGTATTAAAGTAACCATTTAAAAATATTTAAAGAGTAAAAAGCAAAAGTAAGCATTTAGCTGATTCTTTTAGACCAATTAAAAGGATGAAATGTAGTGATTTTGCTAAATAAAAATTTTTTTTTTTCCAATTGATTTGTTCATTTTTCTAGCCTTTTTTCTTTTTTTGCATATTTGGTTTGCTCAAAGGTGGGACAAAAACTTAGCAGGTCTCACACCATAAAGAAAAGTACTTTTTACTTTTCAGTCCATTTTTAAATTGTAGTGGTGAAGAAAGTACAGATACATGTTTTCAAATGTAGTCATGTAAAAGTAAAAAGCATCCACTGTAAAACTGTAAAGTACAGATACCTAAAATTTGTACTTAAGTAATGTAATTTTAATTTTGTATTTCGTTACCTTCTACCACTAATCAAAAGGCTCAGGTTTGTCTTGTTCTAAAACTAGATATGTATTATCAGTGACACAATCTGACTAAAATACATGGGTTTGGATAGATACATGTTGTGATGTGTATAGCCAATTCTGTAGGCCCTTAATATACATGTAATCACATGGTTTCATATAAGAGGACTTTAAATATTTTGGTAGAGCCGCTCCACCCAAACACACATGTTCTCTGGGTCATCCACAAAGAGGCCTTGACGAAAAAGCACCTTAATCAGAGGGTTCGCTAAAGACCTACTCCAAAGTGAGCCAAATTTAAAACCCCTCACCATTCCGGCCTATTTTTCCTAAAACGTCGGACTAAAATTACTCTAATTTCAAACTGAATCTGTTTCTAAACGACTGGGACACAAAAAAATAAATAAAAATGGCTGGACTCTGTAGTTTTGGCCTCTGTCTGATCTAATCTCTAATTATAAGTGGGAACAAACTCTACACAGTGGGAAGTCATATTTCAAACTCTGCCTGAATTATCTGTGGTAAATATTAATCGGTATAGTTGGAGATAATCTGAGAGACTGTGTCAAAGCTGAACCATATCTCACTAAAATGAGATTTAGAAAATTCTGAAAATCAACCTCCATTATTCCTTGGAAATAGAAAGTTGTCCATGGAGATAGATGGTGGAATATTATAGCCAAAAAAACAACATTTCAATTGAAACAAACAGGAGGACCTCTTGAAGGCTAAATAAGAGCCAGTGTATGGAGATAAATAACCAAAATAATAAAAAAGCCTAAAAAGTTACATACTGTGGCATTTTAGTTTTAAGGTTTATTATTTAAAAACCTTTTTCAATGCAACATTTGACATTTGGCTTTGTTTTGTGCTCATTGTAAGAGAGGCCGACAACTCACCAAAAGTGAGTCATTAAAAGCATAAAACAATAACAAAAATATGTTTAATCTCATACATGTAATTGTCACAACATACAACATGAGCCTATAGTCTCAAAGTGACCAACCACTTCAACAAAAAAAAGTTGCAAGAAGTGACAAATATATCTTGAATTAAAGTCCATTTCTTCAAGACCCTAACAGTGAGTATGTAAGCCCAAAGAAAATGCATTGCTTTGTCCTGTCAGTGTAAACATTAAGTATAGGAGAGAAAAGCATTGACCTGAGGAATGTGGAGGAGGTGTCATGTAAAAATGTGTGAGTTCATGTCCACTGTGTGAGTCTGTGTGTCTCTGTCTGTGTGTGTCTGTATGTGTGTGTATATGTCTGCATGTGTGTTGGTGTGTGTGTGTCTGCGTCGTCTTTATGGGTCAGTCTGGTTTCAGCAACTTGTGAACAAAATGCTGTCTGCTCCTATGTGTAGTCTATAAATCTCAACTTGACCTGATTCTTTTAAAAAGTGAAATTATGTAATGTTCCTGATGCTGTGTAAGTCAGCTACTTGTCTACATGGAGATGTCATCGCTTCGAAAAGAATGTTCCATAGAATGACAGTAAACTTATCTATCAATCTGTTTTTGAGCAACAAAAACAAATTGAACATGCAAATTCGATACGTTTAATGCCACACTGCGGAACATTAAAATTATGCATACAAGCAGGTAACGGACCCCCACCAGACAAGTTACATAGCGCATCTTGAAGACTTGATGAAGACAAAAGGCATGCGAGTTGGACAAAATAATGTATAGAATATAGAAACACAAAAAAAAGGAACATAAAAGACTTGACATTTCTCTCCCAGTGTCATAATTAAACTAAAAGGCCTAATTTGCCGGGATACTGATTGCCTCAAATGTCAACAACATAATTGATCAAAGATTGCCAACAGTTTCAAGCATCAGCTCCATTCTTATTAAGCTTGTGCAGAAAAACAAGACAAAATTAGCAGGCTATTTTTGTATCTCAAAAGCTAACCACTCTTTATAATTATTCATTTGCTGCAACCACTTTCAAAATAAAATAAATCTGTATATATTAAAGTTTTAACTGAGAACTGATGCAATTGTTTTTATATATTGCATCAACTTGCACTAGTGTGTGGCAAATACATGTCTGTGTGTTTCTTATACATTTGATTCAAACTATGGTGGCACAAATTATTCTTATAGTCATAATTTTCTCTCATACAATTTGCGAGGTACAAATGTCACTTATTGCCTGTATTTCATATTTACACAATCTTTTTAATTAGTATAGTAACTTTGTAATTTACAGTGATTCTGTTCAGTCAGTGTAACCTAGTTTGTTTTATTAATGGCTAGAGCAAGTATTGACAGTATGAACATTTGATAATTTCCAGAATGTATAAAAGACCACATGATAATATTAAAGAATTTAAACAATGTTCTCAACACAGAATAATACTACTACTACTGCGGCTAAACACCTCAACTCCTACAACCACATTCCAGACAGGGTAGCTAACGTGAGCATTACCTGGAGGACTAAAGGGGAGGGGAGAGGCGGGTCTGGAAATATGAGGAACAGTGAGATTGGTTTAACAAGTATCTGCAATTCAAACTCCCCCTTAAAGTCTACTGTTTGTAATAAGAAACATCTGGCTTATAATCACGGCAGTCCTGTGTGATGTCACTTAGTACTTGTTACAGAAGGCAGCACACAGATTTACCTAGCTGCAGATTTACCTAGTTTGTACTACACTTTAAAGATGCACTATGTAACTTTTTGGTTGGGGGTCCGTCACCTCCTTGTTCCTATGTATATGTCATTGCTCTACCTGGAATGTTCCACAGTATGACATTAATAGCTCTACTTTACATTTATTCTATTACAAGTGGTTTAGTAGCTCAAAAATACCGAAAAAAACAGGCATTCTGACTGTGAACAAGGTTGCCTCTCCACAGATCTGACCTGTGACTTGGTCCGTTTTGGTCTCCATGAAAATAGAAAGGTTTAATGTCATACTGTGAAACATTCCAGACAAAGCAATAACGTCTCAATAGATAAAAGCATTGACAAACCCTCCACCAGAAAAGTTACACAATTAACCTTTATTTCGTTCAACCTTTTAATGAAATTTGAAGTTAAGGAGAAAGGTTTTTTTTGTGGTACCTGGTATTGACTGAGTTGTGCTACTGAAGTATAGATTGAAATGTTAGCATTGTGAAAATACTAGTTTCAGCCTCTAGCTCAACTAAATAGCAAAAACAGGAGAAAGTTACACTGAAATCAACATTTTTAGCGTGCGTGGGAGCGTTACCTCACAGCGAAAAGGCTTCTCTCCAGAGTGCTGCAGTGAGTGGACCTTCAGAGACATGCTGCGTTTGAAGGACTTCCCACAGGTCTCACAGGTGAAGGGCATGTCCTTTGTGTGGGCTGAACAGAACAAACAACAGGCTTTTATATAGACACATGCAGCAGGTTTCAATGTTAGGAATAGTGAAACCAGCAGGGATTTCATGTTCCACTGTTCAGAAAGTCTGATCCAGAACTGAACTGTGTCCTTGTAAGTTCATATACAAAAACAGAAAAATGGCTCTAAAAATGTCAATGCTTGTGATTTATTCTTCGCATATATGTGCTTTTATATAGACAAATACAGCAGGTTTCAATGTTACAGAACGGTGAAACCAGCAGAGATTTCATATTCTTTTTAGATTATTTAAAAAGACCGATCCAGAGCAGAACTGTGTCCTCATAAGTTGTCTACTAGTACATACAAAAACAGCTCATTGCTTCTAAAATGTTAACAGTTGTGATTTACTCTTTGCGTAGTTGGACTTTCCCTGGAATGTTCCACAGTATGGCATTAAATTTGTCCATGTCCGCAGAGGAAAGTATGTGATGCCACAATGCCAAGTGGTCAGTATTTAGAGGAGTCACAGTGAGAATGCATGTTTTTCAGTGTATTTTAACATAAAACAACACTGTAACTGAATAAATATAAGATAGATACTGTGGAACATTCCATGCAAAGCCACGACATCTCCATTGTACCGGGGCAGAAAGAAGGTGTGATTAGCTTTTGCAAATAAACTTTTTAAAATAGAAAAAAATGTGGGCTGAACAAGTGTACCTCAATTTGCTTGTAGGAGATTTCATTTACACAAAGTAATAATGCAACACATCTATTTATTAATGTGATTTTCAAGTGCTGTACATTTCATTTTCAACAAAACACAGAAAAAAAATAAGAAATTATACATGAAATATAAATAAAACATATCCATTTGTGTGTAGTCCTTTTGTTTTTATAAAATTATTTTTATTTTTATATTGCATGTATGACTAAAGTGATCACCAGAGCATTTGACAGTCTATATTTATAATTTGTTCAATTTGTTTGTAATGGTTTTGCAGAGTAGTATTAAATGTAATCTATTTTACACAACTGGTCTTATATCTCAAAAGATCTAATGAATAAAAAAATATTGCCAATATAAAACCAATGATAAGGGACCTTGACACTCACCGACCATGTGTTTTCGGACATGGGCCATTGTGTAAAACTTCTTCTCACAGATTTCACACGAGAACTTCTTTTCTGCGTATCCATGGACAATCTTTATATGTTCATGAAGTGACCACAGCTTCTTAAAAGACTTGTTACAGGAGACACACTGTAAAACATAAACATATATCACAAGTGTTGGGGAGTAACGGATTACATGTACCGCCGTTACGTAATCAGAGTACAAATTATGAGTAACTGTATTCGGTTACAGTTACTCTTTCAATGAGTGGTAATTAGATTACAGTTACTTTGCTGAAATAAGTGGATTACAAGGCGGTATTTTCCTGTTTTCACATTTTGTGCTACATAACATTTATTTTTTTTTTTATTTCGGTAATTCCACTCATTGCCGGAAACCCAAACAGAACGTGGCAATAAGAGCGATGTAAACGTCATGTTAATGTTGGCGGCGTCAGCCACACAGTGGACGAGGTCGAAGAGCCAGTAGAACAGAGTCAGCAGTGCACAGGTAAAAACACATTTGTGTCTTGGAAATTCTTCTCCTGACGTGAGATATATATATATAAAAAAAAAAAACCAAAAAAAAACCAAATATAAAATCGCCTAAAAGTTAAATGTCAAACCGGAGCTACTGGCACTGGTGAAAACAACCTGCCTGGGCTCATGAAATCTGCAGCACTGTTCTATAGTGACCTGCCACATGAGGGGACACACACACAAACACACACCTTCATCATCGTCATCAACCTGAAAATGCGCGGACACGGACACGGGCGCCGCGTGTGGACCGTGTTTTCTCGCGTACGCTGCGTAGACCGCGCTGCCTCCTGTGAGCCTCTAAACCAGAACTAACACCAGGACTAAAACCAGGACTAAACCAGGGCTAAATCAGGTCTAAACTATAGGACTGAACCAGGTCTAAACCAGGACTAAACCAGGACTAAACCAGGACTAAACCAGGACTAAACCAGGACTAAAACCAGGACTAAACCAGGACTAAAACCAGGACTAAACCAGGACTAAACCAGGACTAAACCAGGACTAAACCAGGACTAAACCAGGAACTAAACCAGGTCTAAAATCAGGACTAAACCAGGACTAAACCAGAACTAAATCAGGCCTAAAAATCAGGCCTAAAACCAGGACAAAAACCAGGACAAAAACCAGGACTAAAACCAGGTCTAAAATCAGGACTAAACCAGGACAAAAACCAGGACAAAAACCAGGACAAAAACCAGGACTAAAACCAGGACTAAAACCAGGTCTAAAATCAGGACTAAACCAGGACAAAAACCAGGACTAAACCAGGTCTAGGGTAATATTAGGTAATATTTAATAATATCAGGTAATATTTTTTAATATGGTTAAGGAAAGACTGAGCTTGTTATTGTCTTTTAGGAGACAAAACATCTTATGTTAACGTCCTAGTCCTAATCCTAACAGATCCTAGTCTTTGCTTCTCTACAGCAAACAATTCTTTATTCATGGAGACTTTGGGTCAACAGACAATTTGAAGAGAACAAACAAGAATTTTCAGGATGCGGTTGCTACATTCATGTCGTTTTAAAAGCATGACAATACAAGTAATCCAAAGTATTCAGATTACGTTACTCACTTTAAGTAATTTAATGGATTATGTTCCAAACTACATTTTGGGGTATGTAATCTGTAATCTGTAAGGGAATACATTTTAAAAGTAACCTTCCCAACACTGTATATCAGAGTATGGTTCATTTTACACAGAGACAGAGGTGATGCTTTTGTTTTAACTCTGTGCAACAACTCCCTCTGCTGGGCAAAACAACAATTTCACAAATTACAACTAGCAAAATAATTGTTTGCCATTTTTAAGTTAAATTTTAGCAAGTAAGCAATTGGTATTATTGTATATATCATAAGAACACTTTTGGTTGAAGTGTTTTGTAGTTTTTACTCATGACAATATTATTAAATAAACTGTATTTTGTAGTTTTCTCAAAATGTTTCAGTGATCATCTAAGCAGTTCTTCAGTTCTAAGATTTTGTGTTTTTCTCTGGACTTAACTACACAGCCGAAGGTTTGAGCAATCAGACTGTCACCTGTGACTGTGTTGCCAGATAAGATGGTATCTATCAGCTTTTGAGAGGCGTTTCCAGTTTGCTTTAAGGAGGAACAAGCTGTGGTAAAGTCTCTTCTTCTGTGTGGTCTGTTATTAAACTAGCAGAAAATAAATTAAATACAAACAAAGAAACATGTTTAACATGGGTTTCTAAAACAAACTCTATTGAGGAAATCATGTGAGAACCAGGAAGCGCTGGAGGCTAAATAATTTGCACACTAGATTTCACCATAGACCTTCATAATCTCCTGAGCCAAGAATTTCTAGATAATAAGTTTTGATAAAGATCTCAGATCGAGGAAAGCGCCATGGTGAAAACAAGTAAAAAACCCTGATCATTGCTTGTAACAACTGGGTGGACACTTGAATTCTGACTTTCGTTTTGAATGCAAATTTTTGTGGACTGATTGTGCAATCTAGTTATACAGTGAATCTGTGAAATGTGTAATTACCGCAGTGAACCACAGTCAAATCCAAGAATATCTCAGAAAAGTAAACCAACTGGTCTGTTATAAAAGTTCTCATTCAAGAACCATTTAATTTTCTTCAATTAGGCTCTCTGAAAGCAAAGAATATAACTTTTATTTCAGCTTGAATTGAATACAAGAGCAAATTTAGTTAACCCGCTTTGTCTTTCCAAAAATTTACATCAAATTTAATTTAAAAAGTCAAGTTGGACATGGTTTGAAAACACATAATCAGTGTTGGGAAAAATACTTGAAAAATGTATTCAGTTACAGAAAACTGAATGTTTTAACATAGATATAACCTAACCACTAAAGTGTTTCATTTTTCTTTCATTTATGTTGTGTTTTTTAAGCAATATTGTATATTTAAAATCATTTTTGAGGAACAATGCAAATACCACCATGCAACCAATAGCTGAAAAGCTCTGCTGATATTTTTGGGCTCTTATGTAGGGTTGATTTAACTTATTTTTGTATTATTTTTATCACAAGCCTTCAAGAGGGCTACATAGTCACATTTTGAGCTAATATATCTATTTGTATTAAAGTATTAAAATAAAGCTTTGTTTGTACTCATTAGGCAGCAGGTCAGCCAAAACAAAATATGGTCCTGTGCTGAAGATTTAAGGCCAATAGCAGATTTGCTAAAAAGTGCAAGTGTAGTTAACAGCTAGTTCACATTTATATTCTGTATATATTTTTGGTACATGTTTCTCCCAAACATAACCCATACGTCATATGATGTCTCCCGTGAGTGTTTTACCTGTATGTTCCTCTCACAGTCTGTTTGCTGGTGCAGGGCCAGCTCACTCTCCAGCACAAACTTCTTTCCGCACTTGTCACAGATCTGCATTCTTCTGTGGGTCACGTTCATGTGTTTCTCAAGGTACCAACGCGTGTTAAAGACCCGCGGACACTTCTCACATGCCAGCATCTCCTTCTCCTCCACCTCTGCCTTACTCCCCACAGCACCACCTGCTGAACCTCCACTGGACTGATGCCCCGTCCTGCCCAGTCTCCTCTTGCCTTTTGGGGCTTCCATGTGCTTGCGACGGCCTCTTGTGGTCATCCCTGCAGTTAGAGATGGGACAATATACAATAAGACAACAATAAGGGATGCACTGGTACCGATACTGGTATAGAATATGGCAGAAGATCCAGGACAATTTGCTGGATCAGGTATCAGTTCCATGATATTGGAAATGCCGATATCCTGGCAGACTGGTAGCTGTTTAAAGCCATGGTATTGATATTGGAACTGAAAGAGCAAAATTGCAATTTGAGTTTCCACAATGATCAAATTTCAGGTCAAGGTTGCAGTTATTTATTTAATGGAATGTTCTTTAAAAAAAATAAAAAATAAATCCTGTCTTTTTATAGAAAAATCTTCTTGTACCTGTAGATCTCTACAAACATGTTTTGAAATTCATGGGATTATGGTATTAGTTTAGTAGTTCATATTCACTTCTCTTAAATGTTAATGTCAATGCCTGGAGTTGTTTATAACTACAGAAACAGAATCCTGCTTTTCTTGTCACAGTTGTCACATAAGCACAGTACATAAGAAAAAATGCAATTACATTTTCATCTAAAATCATGCAGCCCTGTTTTGAGGTACATTTTTAGCACTCAAACCCTGCATATTTAGACTGAGTTCTTCTCTCAGTCACAAAACCCTCTGAAAATGCTCTAAAATGCAGACAGAGTTACTTAAACCTATGTGAATGAAACAATAATACACCAGCTGTGTTTTTGAAGTGGTAACAACATTATAACATCGCTAAAAAGCTCTCAAGAGTCCATTTTGCACAATATTTAAAAAAAAAATTCACTACCTGCAGTATCGGTGGTGGAAGGGCTCAGAGCAGTTCGTAGGCTCTTCCTTCTGGGCGGGCTGTCTGCGTTGTCCAATCCCCTGCGAGCTCTTTTGGATCGTGTTGTACGACTTTCAAGTTCATCATCCTCTTCCTCTTCGTCGTCCGTTTCCTCACTCTCTTCCTCTTCTTCATCCTCCTCTTCTTCATCATCCTCCTCTTCCTCATCGTTTATCTCTATGTCCGAGTCCTCAGTTTTACTATCGCCCTTGGAAACATGCAGCGTCTGGTTGTTTAAGTTGACCTCTACGATTATTTGCTCGCGCTTAAACCCGCTCTCCTCGCCATCTTCCTCCTCGCCATCCTCCTCTTCGTCGTCTGTTTCTTCGGACGACCCGTCATCGCCGTCCTGCTTACCTGTGGCCTCTTGTCCTGCCCCTCCCTCCCTAAAATATTGCTGTGGGTTGACAACATTTTGATCACCCATTGAGGGCTTTCCTGACATCTTGCTGTCCACTAGCACAGGGTAATGCGCTTCACCCACTTCGCACTTATAAACTTTACCAGCCAAATCTAGATCTGCATTTGGCGTTTGGTGAAAATAGGTTCCGGACACCTGCGCCCTGTGCCCCTCCTCTTGGGACATCCCGCTAAGACCCGGGATGGAAATCTCTTCTTTGATGTTTTGACAGGATTTCATAAATAGAGAGACGGATAATGATAGCAGGGTATTATTACTTGTTATGGTGCTATATGATCTAGCCTATGCAAAAACAAGGGGCTAAAAATCACTGCACCAATCCCCACCCTCCTTCTACTGAAAACCCAGAAGAGAGGGGGTGAGGTGGGCGAACAGTCAACCTGATTCAAATAGTGCATCCATGCTGTTCAGGTCAGTAAATTGTAAAGACATACAATTTCCTCCAAGTTTGGTCCATGGGGTTAAAAATGAGCAGGCATAAGCTACGACTCTAAAACTTTTCGGTAGAACATTTGAAAGCCATCCGTCTTGAGTTGTTTTGAAAGCTGTAGGCAGTTCCCAGCGACTGCGTTAAGCAAAGGCTGATGCGCTGCAGGGTGCCAAGGTCTCAAAAACAGGTAAAGACAAGCGGAGTTTCAGACGTGGAAGTGCTTCGAGCAGCTACGAGTCTTGCTTGGAGAGCCATTTACAGCGCCGTGCCTAGAAATGAGAGAAAAACACAAAATGTAGATTAGAGCAGAGAAATTTGCCTTCTGTGTTCAACTTCAGTGAACAGAAATGAGTTGTATACTGATGTTTTTTTTTTAAACACAGCACAATGCTAACCCACAAGTCTCTCATTGTGATGAGTACAACTGAAAACCACAAATTAGAGTAATGTAGGACTGAACAGTATATTGAAATTAAATTGAAATTTGAGGAGGCTCAGTTATCATGTTACAAAGGTTGAAGTAGTTTTGCTAAAATAATGTTTTCTGCAAATAACAAAAAATAAAGAAAAATCTTGCTGTACCTGTAGTTCCTCTACAAACATGTTCTGAAATCAATGGAATTCTTGTATTTTTTTAATCAGTAAATTTTCAGAAAGTGCACTCAGAAACACAAAATCCTACTTTTTAAAACATATTGCAAAACTTGTAAGAAAAAATAACAGCTAGATTTTTTTTCAAAACTGTGCAGCAATACTTCAGAAAGGTTCTCCTAAAAATTTCTGCATTAATGTGCAACAAAATTAAACCAGACCAAAAGAAGAAATTTAACACCAACATTCACAAATGCACAATTTTGTTACGCACCTGAAAAGATAAAGGCACCGATTAGGGTGTTGAAAACGATACTAAATGCTTGCACACCGCCCATTGATGTTGAGAGCAAAGCGTAACCACAGCGCACAGCTTTCGAACTAAATCAACCACAGGAAACTGTACTTCAACGAAACAGCACACAGCCGGCATCAAATCTGCAAGTGCTTACTAAAATATAGTCATTTAATCTTTTTTCTGTTTAGTTTAGTATTGTAGTACTAAATAATCTTGAGTTGTTTCGTTCACTGGGTTTCGCTTGCATTGTTGTGGTTCAGGTTAACAGCTGGTTTACCTCAAACAACCTTTTCACTTGAATAAGCAGCAACAGGCAAAACAGAAATGTGTAATTTTCCTACATATTATTAAATGCACTTGATTCAAAATCTCCTACCCAATCAGCAATGAAAAATGAAATCAACAGAAAATCCCTATAGTTGTTTTGCTGATCCATCTACAGATGAACTATACAAGAGTATATAGTGATGAATAATAATAAAAAAAAAAAAAAAAATCTGTAATCTATTGATAAAAATACATCAAATGCAAATTATATGGACTGAAGGGTTATACCGGGTTTTCCTTTGGTCTAAAACAAGATCTACACAATAGAATTACAGAGTGCCTGTTTACACTATACAACCCATTTTTACTGACTGGAGAAGACTATTGTACTCTTTACTGTGATGTATCAAAGCCCATACCACATTTTCACAAGATTTCTTAGTTTCATTTAAGGTATTTTGAAGCATGTGCCACTATTTACTTACATCCATAAAGATTTGAATTTCATTTCATACAGTCACTTTATAGCAACAGTTCAAAAGGGATCAGGGAGAAAGAAGCATTGCTCATTTGGCCCTACAGTTCTGTCACAGACGGATATGACAAATATGCTGCAATACAATATATAATATGGTGTGATATAACGAGATATTAGCTGGTTTAGCCAAGTGTAGTGTCCAAACTTTTCCCACTGAGGGTGCCATATATACAATTTTTGAAGCAGAGGGCCACAGACCACTGTCAGTACAGTGAGTCATTCACATTCATGCATTTTACACAACTTTGATTGAGCCCCTTTACTTTTAAGGCTTTTCAAACCATATGTGGCAGCAAATGTGACAGAAGACCTTCCAGAGGGAATACTTTGAGGGAATGAACACAAGGGACTGATGGATTGTGTGAAACCAACCACTGATTTTGCAAGAGGCTCGCTAAGGAGTATTTGAGATGCTATTGTACACCATGTGTGGCAGCAAATTTGGCAGAAGACCTTCTAGAGGAAATACTTAAATAACTGAGAATGAACCATTTCAACACCAACCGAAACACCAGAGTAAGAAAGAGGCCTGTTCTGTTGTGTTAACCTGGTGCCTCCTAGAGGCTACTGTGATGATGCAGGACACAGAGGGGGCACTTTTGGCTCTTTCTCTCCTAAAACTGCCCTGACAAAGATCCACTGACCCTACCTGACCAGTCCTCCTGTTTAACTGCAGTGAGACCTTTTACTGAGACACAAAGGCAACTGAGAAGCACAGTGTAATTGTTGCTGCAGCAAAACTCAATAGAGTATCTCTCTCTTAATAAAACTTAAATTTCCGCCTTTGGGCCAATTCAGCAGGAGGTCTGAGAGCCATATTTGGCCCCTGGACACCCCTGATATAACCAGAAAACTACTCTGTGATATTTAGATTTATTTTAATTATAGAACTGTACCTTATTTGACACAAATCCCTTGCTTTTTTCTACTTATTTTGAATGTATTATTGCTATTTATATTCTCATTCTTTATTATATTTTAATATGTGTACTAATAATTTCATCTGTGGATCAATACAGTTAGTCCATGTCTATGGTGATGGTGAGATATTCAAAAGATTTTTAACAAACTGTATTGATTTATCATTACATCTCATACTGCCCATCCCTAATGCAACTATATTTTACACTTTCATCTGTTTCCACAGGCCATAACACATTTAATTCAAGGTTTCCTCATTTAACTTCTTGACAACTTCTTGGCTGGAGTTAGTCAACAACACCAGTGCTATTTGAATCAACAACTTGAGAAATTTCATATAAGCCAAGAAGACGAAGAGTTTTGCAGCTCATCTAAAATTTGGCAGTGCTTGCATATGCTCACACCTGCCTAGCTGACTGATCCTTTCGAGAATTGGAGAGCTTTGGGACTGCAGGGGAGGGCTGGCTGTGCGCTGACAGGCAAACTCAATGCACGTCTTGAACACAAAGCGAAATAGATTATCCCAGCTTCAAGATGACAGCAGAAAATAAATCGCATAGGAAACAAATTTTTACGCACAAAAACCCAGCAAGGATTTTAGCTGACAAGTTAAGAGGATCTCAAATGCTGCGTTCATCAAATGGGTTATTTAAGCACCAAATGAACTGTCATAACAAGGAAATGCAATTAAATGAAGCAAGTGTGGTTATGTAACTGATATTGAGTTAGTCATTTCAGGTTTTCATTCACTACGAATAAGACCTTTGATGTGGTGAGAGATGGCTCCAAATCTCTCACTTTTAGTCAACACAACTGACTCCTTTAGAAATTTGGAGGTTAAGGTTGTTAAGAGGGGGAAAGTTTCATTTCATTTTACCGTTACATTTGAACAATGACCTTTTAACCTCAACATAAAATCATAAACATAAATTTGAATAATGTGACATTTATTGAACTAAAATGACAACTGAGTAAAAGGTCGACAAGGGCTGTGGTATCAATCAGATTCAAATTGTATTGGAATTGAATGAGTCATAGTTTGCAGTGGTGGGAGGTACATCAAACAATAGTTGATGTTTTGGAAATATGCTAATTTTGAATATTGAGTCCATAATTTAAACATATACATTTCAAAAGGAAAAAGCAAAAGAAAGAACTGATTAAAAACAAAACGTATAATGCCTTTTAATTACGAGAAGTTTTTAATACAAGAAATAATAAAAACTGAGACACATTTTTGCCATATCATCTTATGGCATAAGACGTTGACAGGATGTGCAAATTGATACAAAAAATGTGAACCAAAGAGTGCAGATTTCACACACTGACATTCACACAGTCAGGCGGGGTGATAATTTGACAGAAATAAATAGGCAAGGCAAGTTTATTTCTAAAGCACAATTCGGATGCAAAAAGCAAAAAAGAAAGTAAAAAAAAAAGTGTCGGTACTGGTAATTCAAAGTGCTTATATTAATATTTATTTTTATCTTAAGACAATATTTTCAAAATGCATCATTAATACTATGTACCTGTAATCTGTATCTCTTTGCTGGGGTTAAAGTATAAAATTGGTCACAAAAAGGCTGCCAGAAATAATATCCCTTATTATTGTTAGTAAAATTACATCTAGATGTTTCTGCTCATTTCATTTTTTATCAGCTCATATTACTGTAATTTTGTATTGTTTTATTTAAAGATGTTACACTCTATATTCTCATTTTGGAAATCTCCAGAACACTAACCAATACTGTATAGATCTCCCACTCATATCAGATAGACACATATTATGGATTTGAGTGGCATGGATAGAGACCACAACTGTTTAGACATTGCACAAAAACAAGCACAGAAGTGGGAGAAACGAACAGCGTAGTGAAAATATGTCCCATTGAGCTGTATAATACTGCATTGGTGCTATTCAAATCCACAGTCTCCAGTCTAGACTTTAATGAGCTTTCCCTCTTGCAGCTTGAGCACTGTGGCAGGGTTCACATTCCTGAGTCGGTCCGCACTCACAAGACCTTCACCGGCCCTCTGCCTGGTGCACTGCAGGGGATCCCCATCTCCGCTGCTTTCTGGCCCTGAGTCAGGTCATACTAGAGACCCACTGGTGTTTTCACTTCAATGTGTAAATCAGATGTTTCATAAGAGGATAATTGTACACCAGTCTTCTAACCAAAACTTTCCCCTCCTCTTTGTGGTAGAATATAAATGACTGCCCTCTACAATGGATCCCTCATGGAAGTTATACGGATTTGTTTAGTATTTGATTGTATTGTAAATTGTTGCATATATTGGAGTCAAATCAATGTTATGTCTAGAATAGGTTTCACCTAGATCTGTTATCTAGGTTTTCCAACACATTACTGTTGTCTTAGGTGAGTGATGCATGCAGGACAACAAGCTGTGGGCCTATGTTATGATGGGATCATGAAGCTTAGAAAGGGTTAAACAAAAAGGCAACATAGTACGTCGTGAAGCACTGTGCAGGCCAGGCCAAGTTGGGCTACTTAGCGTTAGCTTGCCTGGTCATAGCCCATAGGTAGGCTTCTAACCTGCGCACACATGATGAGCTAACTTGGCTACATTAGCTCAAGGTGCAGCATTTTTATAATACAGTCCAGCTAAAGTATCTGTGCATTGGTAACACTCAAATACCGTGCACATGGTCCACCAGTGTACGGACAGACACCGGACAAATGCACTAGGCACCTACTGAAGTCACACTTGCACTTTTCTGCCCAAAACCGCCCAGATTTTGGGCTAACCAGTTAGCTCACTGCTAGCACAGAGGTCTGCTATTCAACATTCATGGAACTTTATGTCGCATTTGAGGTTTGAATTGACAGTCCACAAATCCTAGTGCATTCAAAATAAAAAGGTAGATGGAATCCATTTGAACAGTTTTTTGGAGAAAACAATCGTGCAAAAACAAACCCAGACTGGTTCTGTGGTAAACCCACTAAACTCGGCAGTCCCAAAGTCAGAGCTAAATAAGCGCAGACAGTCTGGTCTCTGGTCTCATCGCGGACCCCGGTCTCATAGCGGGCTCTGACAGGCGTGTCACACGTGTACAACATTATTTTAGTCCTTTAGTCATGTTTTGGTTTGGGCTGATGGCTTACCTCAATCTGTAGACCTTCTTTTGGCGTCAGTGCAGAGTTGCACAGATTCAGGTCTACACACGCACTTCTTGTGGTTACTCCTTCTCTACCTCTGCGGATGTACATTCAAACAGTACTGCCAGTTTCCTTTGTATAAAACGCGGAGCATTATTCTATAATCATTCCACAGAGCGGTGTCCCCTGGCTCGTACTACGTGGCCCAGCCAAGCTCCTGCGCGTCCCCCCGCCGTCCCGCGCTCAGGCCGCTGTCTGGGCAGGCGCAGCGCGTCTGCTCCTCCAGACAGTGCGCACCATCCGTGCACTCACAATTATTCATGGAATTAACGTTACATTGTGTTCATGTTCAAATTTTACTTCTTATAAAAGTTCATGAATACCTGAATGCATCATATTTTTTTTAACCAATTGCTAGATTCTTGATTACCTCTCTGTAGTATGTTTGCTTTGCAGTAAACTGTAATCACTTTTCACAATATGATTTCAACCATTAGAATATTTCAGCAAGAGACTGTACTCCCCCTAGTGGCAAACAATGATTTAAACTTGAACAAAAGTGTTAACACCCCAGTGGGACATGTAGAAACACATTTTATTTGAGATATGTGAATATTAATAAAAAGAGAAAAAGCCTTCAATCTGTATGGTAAGTCTAGATCATTTTTAAGAGCCTGGAAACTGAAGTAGGTTTTTGAATGAGTTATTTTTTTAAAGAGTGATCCAAATTTAAAGCACAAACATTGAACAGTTTGATTAAACTGGAGTAAAACATGACCAATAGCAATGACATGCCATTTTAAGAGTCAGAATTCTCATTATTTAATTATTTTGACTCTGGAGTTTACCATGAAGTATTACATATGGACATACATAGCATATTCCTCTTCTATTCCTCAAACAAGACCACCGCAGTACTCCTCTCACTCTCTCCAGTGATGCTGCATTTAAAAGGGGCATAGTCCAAAATCTGGTGTAGAGAGAGTGCGAGGGGTGTGTGGAGTTTGGAAAGTCAATGGCCAAAATCAACACTAGCAGGAGATGAAGTTATCATTGGGGGAGTTGAAGTAGTGTGCCTTGTCCCGAAGGTAAGTAGGTAACATTTCGGGAGCGGGACAGTTGGAAGGCGATGTCTTCTGCCGCCTCAAGTTTACGCAGCTCAACCAAACCATCGCCAGCCTCCATCAGGGAGTTAGCAATGAGCAAGGCAGCCTGAGAATCTCCCTCTGCAGAGATGATAGAGGCCTGCTTCTGTTGCTCAGCCTGGGAAGAAGATTGGACATGTTAAGAGTAAAAGTCATAAATAGATTCTGAAATAAATACAAATTAATAGTTACCTTTTCTACTACAAATCTAGCCCTTTCAGCCTCTTGCTGCGCCACCTGCTTCATTTCAACAGCCTCAGTAAACTCCTTTCCGAAAGTAAGATGTGTCTAAAAACAAAAACATGAACTCAGTAAATAGTAGCATAAACATGCAGTTTGATATAACATGTAATATACTTCGATCCAATTCAAAATATGACTTCTTAAACATCACAAATTAAAATATCTGCAATGAATTACTTAATGACAGTTACTCCATACCAATGAGACATCGTCCAATATGAGCCCGAATGTAGATGCTCTTTCTGTCAGGTCCTCACTGACTTGCCGAGAGACCAACTCTCTCTGGGTAATGAGCTCGCCAGCATCAAACCGGGCCTAAACACACAGTGGAACCATCATATTATTTGCCTGTATTTTATGGCATACACTTTTGTACGTAAAATTAAATGGTTGCTTACCACTACGGCTTTTAAGACCTCTGTGGTGATAGAGGGCAGTACCCTCTCGTCGTAGTCTTCTCCGATGCTCGTGTAGATGCGTGGGAGTTGATTGGTCACCGGCCGGAAGAGGATTCGGAGTGTGATGTTTACATTTTGCAGATCTATAAAATTATTATTATTATTATTATTATTATTATCATCATCATCATAAATAAAGGTTACAACTGGGCAAATTGTTATCAGTATAAAAATAACAGCAAACCAAAAACAAAATTAATTTTCAACCAGGACCAAATTGTTGCAGGTTATTTAACAGATTAGGACCTAGGAATGGGTACAGATTAACCCAGTATCATAGCAGCATCTGTGTGCATCTTAATGGTCCACTGGAGCAACAAACTCCAGGCCTATCTGCACTCTAAACAATGCTGAGGAGTTGCGCAAGTCATCTGTACTAATATGAATATGAAACTTCTCTTCTCTCATAATATATGTCCATTTGTGTCTGTGTGGTGTGCCTCTGCACTTCATGGTACAGCAGGGAGCTGACTTTGACAACGTGCAGCTGCAACATGCAATCTGGAAACCCTTTTCCAAAGTTCATGTGTGCATGTGCGTTAAAACATTTATTCAACCTAGTGTATATGAAATATTAATTTGAAATAAGTCACACCTTAATGATTCAGAGTAGAGAAATGAATCATTTTGTATACTGATACTTGTTCAAATCAGTATCTAGATCAATATTAGTTTTAGTATGTGGGTCATATATACATATATAGAAATCTTAAAAAGTATTCATTATGCTCATTAAAAATTACAAGCAGGTCACACCATGCATTGGATGAGTTCCAATGAGTTCCAATGGCAAACTCCATAATATCAAACAGTTTATTCTTTAACATCCCTTCTTAGAGGCCGGCACACCAACAGTTTTGTCTCACCTTTGCTGCCAGTGATGACAGGCACATTGCGTGGACGTGAACGACAGTCAAAGATGATTGGCTTCTGAACCCAAGGGATGACGAAGTGGGTTCCTTCACCAACTACTGAGTCTTGTACCCCTCTGAATCTGTCAAAAATAACAGCTCTGTGCCCGGCGTCAACTGTGAAGAGAAAATAATTTCAGCCTTAGTACATAATGATTTAAACAAAAATTCCAAGCAAGAGGTCTGTGAATCACACTGAACTTAATTTAGAGACAGTATAATTTAAGACCAAAAAGCAATTACAAAATTTTAAACACATGTTAATTAAACTAATCCATGGAGTTTGCTGACTGAGAATGTGAGATGAGAGAATGTCTTCCAGCCTATCAAAGCAATTGGGTCAGAAGGCTTGATCTCAAGGTTAAGAAGAACAACCTTTGGTTCAACAATAAGAGCTGCCCTTTTTAAAGTAAACAAAAGATGCACAAAAGCTTTTTTTTAAATGTTTCCTAATGTTTTATGAAGTGTCATTATGTAGGGTCTTAATTAACCTATCTAACTGACTAATTCATTAATTGTTTCTATACTTCATAAGGTCTGGTGTTCATTTCATACTTTACATTGGGTCATGCAGGAAAAGTGTATAGAAATCATACACTCTTCTGTATTTTAGGACTGCAACCTGAATAAAGGATTACCAGGGATAAATAAACGAATCAAGCACTTACCATTATACAAGGCAGAGTTCACAACGCCTCCTCCAATGGCCAAGGCCAACCCCAATTTCCCAATACTCTCAAACAGCTTGGCCATGACAGCAACCTGCAACAGACAGCACAACACAACACATGGATGTAACTTTATTTACTGAGTGGTTGTTTAGCTACGCGTGGGTCGGTTTAAAGCCATGTCAAGTCCTCCTCAGTATTAGTCTGTCCACGGCCTTGATCACTGTTGTGCCGAGATTGGTAAGAGTTAGCATAGCAACTAGCAATAGCTTGTATGTAACATTTCAAGGCTACAAGCAAGTCGTCAACATTTGCCAGTAGTTAGCTTTTCATTTTATGTACGCTGAGAACACACGTACGGAAATCTGAATACATGACTTAAAACTTTCATTAGCAAATTAAACAGCATGGTACACCGCAATTACGCTCACATGTTACATCAAGTTAGCACTCCCACCGCATCGGAAGCTTTTAATCGGCACCAGCCACAACGCTACTGCAAAGTATAGATTTCTGACATGGTCGGACACAATTTATACATTGAAAAAAATAAAAGTATTCATTGTAAAGTGCCTTAACTCACCTGTGATTTTAGCTGATGCGTGTGACCTCCACCGGAGTCGAACTACACATGAAACAGGAGCTCTACTGCGCATGCGTATCGAGTGTGCGACACGGCCTGTGATTGGAGGAAAAGCTCTTCTTCTACAGTTAAAGAAAAGGCAACATAGGACATAATTATTCAAGTGCGCACTCTCCTGGTTAGTTTTTCAACATTCCACTTGTTGAATTATATATTTTTAGACACTCTAGTATGAAAAACTTAAATTGTAGAATATAAACATAATTATAAAACATACTGATAATATGCCTAAGGAGTTTCATGCCAAATTCTAGTCTTATATCAGTCAAAGTCTAAAACTGTATTAACTCCCATTGCATAAACAGGTAGATATTAAATGTATATTCTTCTATTTCTCACTGAATCGCCATCCCTGAGAGGTTCTTGGAAATTAAAGAAAATCAATAAGGCACTTTGGCTTTACACTAATATGCACTATCTTTGACTGACTGCCATGGCATAATTACAACGTTCTTGTAATATAACTTAAACCTTTTTTTAAATTATTATTATTATTATTTTTTTTTATCTTGTTTTCTTTTTTTCATTGTTTAATTGTTTGTTCAATATCGACCAAGGCCTGTATGGTTTGAGTGTTGATTAGAAAACACTAGTTTAGAGTTTAGAAGTGGAACTGGCCTCAAATCAGCTTCATTTTATACATGCAACGAGTGCAAGGGTCTATTTTGCTAGTAAACTGTGTAAACAAAACGAAATGAACCTTGAAATAAATGATTAATCACATCCAATCGGTAGGTTTACAAAATCCCCTCCAGACAGAAACCAAACCTTTGGCGCCCCCTAGCGAGAGCAGAGCGAACCACACCAGTGTTTTGTAGTTTCACTTTCTTCCGACGCTCGTAAAGAGTGAAGCCGTTCGTCATGAATCGAGAAAACGCCACGAAATAAGCAAGGTCGGTAATCTCTCCAAATATTGCAGATATGTTTTTAGTTTTGTAGCACTCAACGATCAGAGCAAATACGCTTTTCTTTTACGATAAACGAAACAAGCGACAGACGCGGTTGTCAGATTCCACTTCCTTGATTGTGTTTGCCTAATGCTTTCTTCAAAGGCCATTCTCATTCTTAGCTTTATGAGTAGCTGTAAATGCAATCAGACTCCACGTTTAACTTACAATTCAACGTACAATTTTACCTTAAACATGCGCAACCATTCACGCGTAACTGAATAGTGAATCGTGAAAGTTTACCCGCATAATTTGTTTGCACAGAACGAGATAAACAGCATGTTTTGCTTGCACCTGTCTCATTTGCACATGTAAAGTTTGCGTGAAGAGGTCAGTGCGATTGATGAGCGGGAATACACCCGGCCCCTGTCCGGAGGTTTTTATGTTATACAGGTGTAACGAGCCCAGTCACTCTCTCTGCAGTCTGCACCAAAACAATCGCAAGAAGTACAGCTGTAGGCTACACTGTATTTATTAGAGTTCATCACTTTACGTTAATACAACTTTTACTCCTGTTTTCGTCTGTATTTAGACCTAATTTTGTCCTGGTTTCATTTGAGTCCATATAGTCTTTATTTTACCCTGTTACACTATAAAGACCTGGTAGTGTAGTTCTAGTCATACTTAAGTCATGAGGTCTAGTCCTTCTTAAGCCTTGGTTTTGTCTTTCTATTACTTACGTTCTTACTTACATTGCTACTTGCGCAGACACCACATCAAATTAGGGATTAAATTGTAGCTAAACCCATAATTCAATCTGGACTAGACCAGGATTTAACCAGGACTAGAGCAGGGCCATCAAAACAGGAATACAGGACACATCTTTCATTTAGAGGGGTTTAGACTTTCTTTAGTCCTTTGTTTAGGCCTGTTTTAGGGCTTGTTTGAAAATGTACTACTACTGACCAGATGCAGTCATGGCAGCATTGTTTTGAAATGTATTCTGCATTACTACACTTCCAATTCTTTACTATATTTTCAAACCTTAAGAAAATTAGGCTTACCTGGTTTCCAAAATGTAATGTAAACTACAGAAATGAAAGTCCTATATTACACAAAATTACACCACTCTTGTGAGCTTTAAACCATGGTATAATGTCATCAAAAAAGTTGTGTTTGGTTTCATTCACACATGTTTGAGTAATACTTTATTATTAGTCTGTTTGCATCTTTAAAGCTCAAAATGGGCTGTCCCACTTTGTGATGTCATTTGGCAGTATTTTTCATGTTAAAGTTTTTACCTTTTGTTTAGCAGGTAGTTCCAAGTATGAAATTATCCATCTGATTCTAGTCAAGGTGTATGGAGTTTTAAAATACAGTGGAGCACTTAACACATGACATCACAAGGTGGAACAGAGTGTTTTCTGTTTGAGGGAAGAACTCAGCCTAAAAATGCAGGATTTGTGTGTTAAACGTGTGTGAATGAAACAAAACACAACTCTTAAGTACTGTATGTTTTAACAAGGAAACACCATTATAACCTAGATCAGAAAATAGTGTAATATGGGCCCTTTAATACATATCTTGGAAATTTCTGTCAGGTCATTGTCTTTAATTTGGTTGAATACATTTTTTTTTTTTCAAACACAATGCCCTAACAGAAATTTCTAAGCTTCAGTTATTTCGGTTTCTATTTTTTGTAGCTGTAATGTCATAGTAACCTCCAACAGATGGAGTCATATAGCCACAGATCAGAGTTTCCTTTCTGTTCTAAGGGTGGGGTCTTTCAGATACATTTTAATATAGAGTTTCAAGTAAAAAATCTCACATTGCCAAATTTAAGTAGGTTATCACGGTTCACAATTATGCTACTGCAAGAGAAGATGTATTGCAATGAATACAATTTGATTCAAAAGATACTATGTGACCAACCTCATCATATAGCAGCAATTTTTATTATTATTATCATTATTAGTAGTATTTTAAGTTCTTTACAACTCTGGGTATGTTTTGGGGGGAGGTAACAACATTAAAAGATGACTAAACCTCACAAGAGTCAATTTTGTGTAATATAGGACCTTTAAATTCATTGTTACCTGCAGTTCTACAGGTGGTAACTATGATTATTGTAAAATGTAACCGGGCAACCCTAGCTCTCTTTCTCTTTTTGAATTATTAAATATTCTTCTGCACGTTTTGTCTGTGTGCTCCCAGCAGATGGCAGAGCAGAGCCGGACGGTGAGGGTGACGGGGCTGCCCTCGGAGGTAAAGGAGGGGACAGTGGAGGACAAACTGTGTATTCACTTTCAGAGACGCCGAAACGGAGGAGGAGAGGTGCTCTCTGTTACCACGGTGAAAACATCACCTGACTTTGCACTCATCACCTTTGAGGACAGCAGAGGTCAGTGGAGTTACATGTCAAAGCATTAACATATTAAAAAGAACGAAATCTCTAGTTTCACAAATGAAGGTTTTTAAAATACTACATGGTCACTATGTTGAAGTAAGATATACCTGCAAATGTAAATGTAATTTTATCTGAATTGAGTTAAATGTGCACTGTTACTTTATGAGATGGAGGTACATCTCCTGCTTGTCTCCAGGAAGAAGTTGTTTGCCTAGAACAGGGATTTCTGAATTACACGTGTTGTCCTGAATAAGTAAAATTTGATGAATTAAATGGCATTTACCATTGCACATGTATCATTTTGATTATTAATTTTGTACACTAATAAATGGATGAAGGTTTATGTTTTATAGGCATCTAACTGTACCTCGTTTAAGGCTCACCGTGGCTCTTAAATATACAACATTTCTTGTGACCGCTAAAAATGCTCTCTAGCATTTTTGTTTTGTAAAAGTAGCTCACCAGAGGAAAAAGGTTGGAGACGCCTGACCTAGAAGGTTCCACAGTATGGCATTAAGCATATCTGTCTGTCTACGTAGAGACAAACATCAGGCCAAGTTACAGGTCAGATCTGTGGGGAGGTGAAAACACACACACAGAATGCATGTTTTTTTCCAGTTTTGACAGTGACTATGAAATACGTGCAAGATGGATACATTTAATACTACTACGGAATATTCCAGGCAAAGCGGTAATATCTCCATGGAGACCAGCAGGTGGCAGAGAAGTTACATAGTGCACGTTTAAAAGTTGTAAATTGACAATTGAATAGAATACTTTCTAGAAACCGTCTGACCTTGTGACCATACATGTTAACTGTGAGACGTCTCCATTTTCATGTGTGCATATTTAGGACACCTTTTAAATTCAATTATATTATATTGTCTATTATTGAACACTCTGCTTCTTTGTGCAATGGCATCAGGTGAGGTGTAGGACTGTTTACCTGAAAGTTAAAACTATTGGCCTGGCATCTCTCTTCTTTATTGTTGAGTATTAGTGAGGGATTGTGCTTTGTTGGCTGTCACCCGTGATTTAAACAGCAGATTGTTGGCGAGCGACTGAACAGAGCAGTCACTGAGCGGAGGGCTGAGTCAGGATGCCTTACATACTGAGATTCATTTGGCTCTGGTGACCTCTCTCCATCTGTCTGTCTCTTTTTCTCTCTTTCTCTCTCTCCCTGTCTCACTTTCTCGCTCTCTGTTTCCCTTTCTCTTTCTCTCTCACCCCCGCCTCTCGCCTTGTCTTGCTCTCTCTCTTGCCCCCCTCTCTCTTCTTCTGCTCTTTTTCTCCCTCTTCTTTCCCTCTCTCCTCTCTCTGTCTCTCTCCTGTCTCTCCCTCTCTCTCTCTGCCCCCCTCAATTCTACCCCTTTCTTTCTACATCTAACTATCCCTCTCTGTCCCCCTCCCTCTTCTTTCCCTCACTCTTTCCCCTTCTGTCTCCTGTCTCTCCCGCTTTCTCTCTGCCCCCTCTCTCCCTCTTTTTTTCTCTATCTAACTCTCTCTCTCTCTCTCTCTCTCTCTCTCTGCAACCGTCTCTCCCTCCCCCTCTCTCTTCCTCTCTTCTTTACCATCTAACTCCCTCTCTCTCCCTCTTTCTTCCTCCCCCGTCTCTCTTTGCCCATCTAACTCCCTCTCTGCCCCCCCCCTCTCTCTCTCTCTCTCTCTTCTGTCTCTCCCTCTCTCTCTGCAACCGCCTCTCCCTCCCCCTTTCTCTTTCTCTCTCTGTCCCCCTTTCTGTCTCTCCCTCTCCTTCTCCATCTTCCCCTCTCTTTCCCCATCTAAATCCTCTCTCTGTCTCTTTCTCATTCTCCCCCTCTTTCTTTCACCATCTCTCTCCATCTCTCCCTCTCTCTCTCCCTCTCAGTGGCCCAGAGCGTCGTCCAACAGCCTCAGCAGATTCTGGAGGTGGACGACAAGAGCTTTAACCTGACAGTGAAGGAGCATCCTGGAGCCACGGCCCAAGATAAGGTCTTTGTAAAATCACCCAGAGCCACACAGTATACAATATCATTACCAGAGATATAAAACCTTTATATTTCTTTTAATAATGATGAATCCTACAGAAGCAGTCTGCAGTTGACTGAGCCTGACTGAGTTTCTGTGGAATTACTATTAATCAAATATTCTAATCTATAATTTAAATATAATAATGGGAACAGTTTAGCCTTGAACTCATGAAAATGTGATGAAATTAACCATATTACTGGAAAGCCCCCCGGATATGATGATCTTATAAGTTATAAGTTATTTAAGTGCAGTTCATTTTCACTATTTAGGTTAATAATATACGAGACACGCCTAAAAACACACAAACCAGGCCTTTATTATGATAATTCTCATCTTTACTTTACTGTGAGTATATAAAAAGTGTTGTAAGCAAATGAGTTTAAGGTCTTATATCACTCAAAATTGACTCTTGTGAGATTTGGGCCATGTTTTAATGTCGTTACCTCCTCAAAAACATACTTTTTTTTTTTTTTTTTTTTTTTTCCACACACATTTGAGCAATCCTGCATTATTAGGCTGTCTATATCTCCAAAGCTCAAAATGCTCTGTTCCACCTTGTGATGTCATGAAGGTAACAGCTGTCATTTTACCTTTATTCAGAAGAAATAGGCAATTCCATGGATGAAATGTATATGTATGTGTATGTATATGTGCATGGAGTTTAAAAACACTGTGGAGCAAGACAGAGTGTTTTTAGTTTGAGAGAAGAACTCAGCCTAAATACAAAGGTTTTTTGTGTCAAACATGTGTGAATGAAACAAAACACAACCTCAGGTACTGTATGTTTGTGATGAGGAGACAACATTAGAACATAGATCAGAAAGTAGTGCAATATGGATTCATTAAGATTTAGAGCAATGCGTTTGTCTCTACAATCAAAGTCTAAACTTCAACCAGGAGAGAATACATTGAGATTTGCAGGTAAAATAATGTTCTAATATTGCATTTTTGTACCACTTCCTAGCCAAGATATAAAAGAGGCTAGTTTCAAGCCTATTGAAAGTCACAAACCTTTCACAGACAGGTGAATTAACCAATTTGGCAATGCTGATTTAAGTAATTAAGCTTATCATATTATTCTGAATGATTTATACTACTTAGCACTACTTTTGACACATAGCTTCAATTTGTAACATTTCCTTTTTATTTTCAGGTCATCATTAGTCTCTCTGCTACTGTTGACTGCAGCCAGCTCTCTGCGGGGAAGAGGACACTGAAAGGTCTCCTTAAGAGCCACCCTGACATCCAAATGAACTACAATTCAGCTCTAGGACTCTGCACGTTAAGTGGCAGCTACTCTACAGTCCAGGCAGCTTTAGCACAGCTGCTCGGACAAAATCAACTCCCACAAACTACAACGGAAAAGGACCTAAAAAGCAGCACTGAAAGCAGGCCTACTCCTCCAACGCCATCACCTCGCACACAGGTAACTAAGGAGGTCATGGTGTCAGATTTCAGTGTGATGATTCAGAATTACTGACACCAGAACTAAACAACGGCGCAATCCTTAAATGACTTTAATTGATGTTGTCTGATACATTACCATCCCTCTACTATACGGCAGAGAGAGAGAGAGAGAGAGAGAAATTGACCTTTGTGTCTCAGTCAAAAGTCTCAGTGCAGTTTAAGTGGAGGACTGGTCAGGAAGGGTCAGCGGATCTGTGTTAGAGCAGTTTGAGCAGAGAAAGAGCCAAAAAATGTCCCTCCTCTGTGTCCTGCAGCATCACAGCAGCCTCCAGAGGGCGCCAGGTGACCACAACAAAGGCCTCACTCTTACTCCACTCTGGCTTTTCAGTTGGCGATGAAATGGTTCATCCCCACAGAGCGTTTCCTCTGCAAGGTCTTGGAGTATTTCCTCTGGACGGTCTTCTGCAACATTTGCTGCCACATATGGTGTAAAAAGCCTCTAGCGTCTAAAATGTCCATAGCAAGCTCCTTAGCTGGCTCCTCGCACAGTCCAGCTTTGTGAAATCAAACTTTCTGAATGAGAAATGAGTTTGCCTTTGGCTTCATTTTACTCCTTCTCAAACATATTGTGACTTAATTGAATTTTACATTACATTATTGTTTTGTTCCTGATGACTGAGACAAATACGTTTCATTCATTCAAATTAAAGTTTAAAGATGCACTATGTAACGTTTTCCAGTTAAAGGTCTGCCACCATGGAGAACTGAGATGGAGACTGAGTTGTCTTAAATGTCCCACAGTATGGTATTAAACTTCTCTGCCATGCATTATTAATAATTCACTTTATTCCATGATGTTTTTTATTGCTGAAAAGGAACGGGGTCACTTCTCCACAAATATGACATGTAACTTGGCCTTGTAGTGTTTCCTGCTAGAGCTAGATTAATGACGGATTGTGAAACATTCCAGTAAAAGCAACCTCCAAAGAGATAAGGAAGTACATGCAGGTTACATAGTGAACCTTTACAGATCAGAATGTTACACTTTACATTTAGGTGTACCTTTTTCGGACCATATATTGAATCAAAATATGACTTAATTTTGCTACGAAAACTAATTGTATATTTACTTCTTGTGATTATTGTCCCAAATAACCATAATTATTGATTAACCATATACTTTTGACATTCACAGAAATCACAGGACCAAACCAGAAGCCAGAAGGACCAAAAGGAGAGACCCCCCGTAGAGAAACATACCACAAGTTTACAGAGAGACGTCACTCCCGGTGGTTACGAATGGGAACTACAAGGTGCTACAGCAAGCCCGCCTGACTCCGAAGAAGATTTTTCCTTAATGGTGGACGCGGACACGTTTCAGTATCTGCAAAAATACTGTCGAGAGGAGTACCATCAGATCCTCAGAAAGCATGGGGTTGCAGTGGTGGACTATACACATCAAGGCTTAACTACTTTGCTATTTCAAGTCGCAACTGGAGATGCTGTGAACGAACAAGAGCGCTTAAAAAAGGCTAAGAATGAAATTAGCCAGTTGTATGAGCAAAATCAGGCAAATATTTGTAGAGATAAGCTTTTAAAATCAATTATTCCCTATAGATCCAGTCTTAAAAGAGCAATTGATAAACTGAGCAGCAAGTTCACGAAACTTCTTTTCAGTGAAGACGAACAACATATCTACTTTATTGGAAGCAGAGAAGAAGTTGGAGAAGCGAAGAGATTTCTGCTCCTTTACGACGAAGAGGATAAAACTGAAGTCACAAGTCCGAGGAGGTTCCAGGATTCTTGGCCAAGCCATGAAACAAAAGCCCCAGCTGCTAGCGTTGGCGTTCTGCACACTAATGGTATCGATAAAGAAGAAGATGATGCTAAGATAGACGGATCTCCAAAGTTCAAGCTCGCGGCGCAGTTTAAAGATTCACGGGTGGCGCCGATTGGAAGCAAAACAAGTGATTTCAATGTAAGAGGGCATACGCAGTCAAGTAGCAAAAAACGCCAAGGCCCCATGCTGGCTTATGACGATGTGCTATCTGAGGCTAACAAGAATGCATACGTGAATGCTCAAAACACAGGTGGAGATATATTGTTTAAGAGTGCGAATACTGCAGTGCAAAATGTTGGATTAGCAGATACCAGACCCAAAACTTCTGCTGTTAGTCCAGTACAGTTTGATAGCTTGGGTGCACAATCGGAAACTAAAACTGGAACAAGTGTAAAACGGGCAAGTAGCTTTTCAGGAGTGATGCCAAAAAAGGACCAAGAAAATTCACCAAAAAGTGAACTGGACACAGGGAAAGGCCGAGGGAGATCTTCGAGTTTCAGTGGTGGTGATCAGCAGCTTAATGCCGAAATAACTATTGACAGCATCATGTGGTTGCATGTTAAAAAAGCGTACAAACCCAGGATCGAGGAGTTAACGTCTGGGATCCAAATTAGAGAAATGAATTCGGATGGAGAAAGAAATGTAACGATTCTTTTAACAGGGACAAATGGGTCAAAGGTCCAAGCATGCAAGCAAGGTTTAGCGAAGCTTGTTGATTCAGTTAGTGTAGATTTCGTTTGTAATTCCTTGACACTGCACGAGCTTGGAATTGCAGACCCAGCCGATGACGCGTTACAAGCATGTTGTGATGAAATCCTTAGCCGGTATAAAAAAATATCAGTAGAAATCTCTCATAAACATGTATTTCTTCTTGGGCCTAAAATTATGTGTTCTCAAATTCGTGATTTGCTCCTTGAAGTTTTCTCTGAAGCACAAGTCGCCTCTAGACTTCAAGACTTCTCACGACCTTCTACGTCAACTGGGTCTGAAAGCTTTAAAAATTCTCCTAATGGGAAAATCAATGGCTCCGCTGGACAAGTTTCACCAAGGACAGATCCAGTTATTAAGGTAAAGGTGAGGAAGCCTGCTGGTTTGGAAGCGGACAGCCAAAACGCTCAAGATTCTATCACATACGCCAATGGATCAGTGACAACTCGTAATGACAAAACCCAAAGAAACAGACAGCAGACTACAGCAGCTCCAGAAGGGCTAATGTGTGAAATTTGTGAGAAAAAAGGAGCAACAGTGAAGAGGTTCAAATGTGGAGAGGTCTACTGTTCGGACTGTATTAAAGTCACACACTTACAATGCCAGACGTGTGGGCCGAGAGAGGAGAGGAAAGCACGGGGCATACAGGGGCAGATGACATATGCTGCTCTGCCCATGAGTATGCCAGGATTTGTGAAGGGTCCTGTTGTGAAGATCACCTACTGCATTCCAGATGGCATCCAAGGGGTGAGAGTCAAACATGTTCTGTATTAAATTATTATAAGGCTGCAGATTTTATTTAGAAAAAAGAGAAAATTGAAATTGGAACTGACTAAATGTATGATATACTAGTATACTGTGGAGCATTCTAGGCAGTTCTAACAGGTGACAGACCCTCCACCACTAAAGTTGCATAATGCACCTTTAAAGGTCCTATCTTACACAAAATGGACTCTTGTGAGCTTTAAGCCGTGTTATAATGCTGTTACTTCCTCAAAAACATACCTGGAGTTATGTTTTGTTTCATTCACACGTATGAGTAACCGTTTATTATTAGTCTGTCTACATCTCCAAAGCTCAAAATGCTCTGTTCCACCTTGTGATGTCATGAAGTGGTAATCTTCAAGTTAATAGCTACATTTTACCTTTTGTTTAGGAGAGACTGTCAATCCTAGGCCTGAAACAATCCAAGTGATTTTAGTGACGGTGTAAGTCCTGTATTGCCACATGACCTCACGAGCTGGAATAGAGTGTAGAGAGAAGAACTCAGCCTAAATATGCAGAGTTTGTGTGTTAAACATGTGAATGGAACAAAACACAACTCCAGGTCTGTTTGTGATGAGGAAACAACATTATAACATAGATCAGAAAACAGTATAATATGGGCTCTTTAAGTATTTTACAACTTTCATTTTCTCCCACAGGACGACGATCCATCTCCCGGAGAGTTTTTTACAGGAGGTACATTTGAGGCGTTTCTCCCAGACTGTGAGCGCACCAGACGCCTGCTGCCCCGGCTGGAGAAGGCCTTCAGGACGGGTCACACCTTCACTGTAGTCAAGGGCAAGGTACAATGGGACGCAATCCCACACAAGACCAGCCTGCACGGGGGCAAGCCCAGGTGAGTAACTCATATATACTTTATATTATACATACACCATATACAGTGTACTGTGCATGTCATTCACATTAGATTTTTTAAAACATAAAACCTTGACAGTCCAAAGATTGGTGGAAATGAATTCACCTTATTCCAGAAGTTGCCGTGGGCACCGCCATCATGATTCGGGTTGTATTATTTTGTATGGGGCTGCCAATCTTGACAGTTAATAAGTTCAGTACGGCCTATAAAGCCATTTTAAAGCCCCTCCAGAGAATTGGTGCAGTGTGATTTATTGATGCACATGTAAATTGAACATTTTACACAAATGAACCGACTTAATGTCATATTTAAGATGCAAAGCATTTCCCAGATTTTCCATTGAAATGAATGGGATCCCCGATTAACCGGAAGTGCCACCATAAAAAGCTTGATTTAGTAACATTTTGAGCAGACCTGGGCATTGTACTGCTTTGGTTGACTTTGACTGGCCCATTTAAGTTAATTTGGCATTACAAAAAATGCTTTTATGTTAGAGGTATTTTTTAAAGACCTTACTTTTTCACTGCTTAGTCATAACTTACCGTATTTTCCGGGCTATTAGACGCGCTCTTAAGCCTCCAACCCCATCAAAAAACAACTGTGCACCCACAATCCAGAGCACCCTATACATGAATCCACTCGGGTGTCCCAGCACGACTTCAGTAAACTACAAAGTCGCACCACCCGCAGAACACACAAACACACACAGAGCAGACACTGGCCGCACGGCGAAAAACACCCGCAGCCACACTCATCACTCCACGCGGAGGAGGAACGGAATGGAGGAACGAACTGAAAAAGCGAATGCAATGTGCCACAGCTAGACACAACTGAACAACTGAGTCACTGCGAACACGCCAACAATCCAGCGGTCCCAGACAGCACCCTCCCTACACGCCACAACTGAACAAAGCCCAGAGTCACCATGAACGCCACAAACAAAGTCTGACTCACCCATCCAACTAGGTTTATTTGTGAAAAAAGTTTGAAAATAGACCATTTAATGACAGTGTCTCTTATAATCCAGAGCGCCTAATAGTCCGGAAAATACTGTGTACTCTTACCAGACTTGCCAGCCCATCAAAACAATGCTATTTACTGCTTTTTATAAAGAAATACAATTCATATTATGCAGAATTGAGTTTTGGCCCGGCCCTCCACGATAGTTTGTTTCTCACGTGGCCCCATGGAAAAAATCATTGCCTACCCCTGAATTAGAGACAAAAGTGAGCAGGGCGGAAAAAGGTGGATAAAGAATGTATGGAAAACTATCTGAATTACAATGCTACACTGGAATATAATGTACAATGTATCCAAAAAGAACAATTCAAGTAATTTTAATAAACATATTAATGTACTTTGCCAAACAAAATTCATTCATTCATTCACACTTTACATGCTACTAGTGTTGGAAAAATGCTGTGTTCATACCATTACAATGCTCTAGTTGGTAAAGTACACCAAGATAGACTGTATGTTAAATGTACAGTGTAATAAAGTAATTTTGTTTTGTTTTAGTGGGTATCCAGACTCCACTTACCTGAACCGCTTGGACAGCATCTTGACCGCCCTTGGGATCTCGTAGTCACCAGCCACAGCTTTCATATCCAGAATCTGTCATCTTAATCCATTTTTCATTTTAACACATCTTTTTACACACCACTACTGTTTAATTTGTATAAACAGTGATTTTAGCATCGTTAACTGTGTTGTCAACAATATTGTATTACACAAATCAATTATTCCACTTTTTTAAAATATGTTTTCTATCGTTATTTCACACATTTTGTATAGACGTGTACATTTTGCACTGTGATACATAGTGACTCCATAGTTTTAATTCATAACGTCATATTACAATTTTTACTTTTAGAAATAAAGACCAGATTGACTGAAGCTTTTGTTATGCTTTTTATTAGTCCTGGAAAACATGTAAGGCATATGGTAACATTACACACTGAAGCAATACAAGCTCTACGGTGCCGTGTGACAACCCAAGCACAAAAGCAGCATCAATTCAAAGGATTAAAAACAAAGTCGAGAATTTTCCTTTTTCTTCTTCTTTTTTTTTTTTTTTTTTCCTTTTTTGTTTGTGGGAACAGGAAAAAATACAAAACACAATTCAGGGCAGGAAGTTGGGGGCGGCTAGCTTGAGAAAAATGTTTGATTGATTGTGAATGTGTGAAAGAAATGCAGTATAAACAAGATGAAGGGAGATTTTTTAAGGCCTACTGTGTAACTTTTCTGGTTGGGGGTGTGTCACCTGCTTGTTTCCATGGATATGTCATTGCTCTGCCTGAAATGTTCCACAGTATGACATTAAACAGCTCTGCCTTTCTTTTATTCAATCGCTTGAGGCTTTGCAGCTCAAAAATACCTAAAAACAGGCATTCTGGCTGTGAGTGGGGTCGCTTCTCCACAGATCTGACCTGTAACTTCATCTGGTTTGGTCCCCATGAAGATAGAAAGGTTTAATGCCATACTGTGAAACATTCTAGATAAATCAATAACAAAGTAAAGCATTTGACGGATCCTTAACCAGAAAAGTTACACAATGCACCTTTAAGAGTTCCCAAATATAAATAAATTAATAGCTATGGAACAGAGGTCATGCTAAAAGTGATATAAGACAAAAGGTGGCACACAGGGGGCAGTGGATTGGCTGCAACTTGGCAATTTGAGACAACAGTTGAGAGCTACTTCTCCCCCACAAAATGAAATCATATCTGTACTAAAATAATAAATGGAAATTGATGTACTCCGAGAAGTAACATGCATATAGTACTGTACATGATAAGTCAGATTGGACCAAGTTTCACTGTACTATCTCTTCAACTTTACATGACATGTTTTTAAAATGCTGAATTATTATTGTACTGTACTGTTTATATATTAGTATTTTATGGGTTTATGTGATTTTAAATTTTACATGACGGTCAGACTGGACCAAGTGTCACTATTTCCTTTTTTATATATTACCAGTATTTTCTATAATAAGTGATTTTCAACTTGACTCAGCATTACTTGACAATACATTTTACATCATTATTTAATTCTACTGATTTAAGTAATATGCATTTGTAGAGCTCAAATACTGAAGATCTGAAAATACTTAATTTACAACAATTTAAACAATATTTTGATAATTTGGTCATGTTGATCACTTTAGTTATCTAAAACTTTACAATGACAGTGAACAAAATGTGTGTTTTTATAGATTTGAGAGATGACATACTTGTATTTGGGACAATTTCAATCATATGACCTTTTTCTTACCCTTTAGATTCCCAAACTTGAATTTCAATTAGTAACAGTAGTTGTAAAAATACTTGGTTAAACTGACATCATAGTAGTTAGAGTGGTTATTTTTTCATACTATCAAGTTACATAAGTGTCTGGGAAGCCTCTGTTAACTCATTGTAGATTACCGTTTAAATTCATATATATAATACTAAACAAACAGGGCTGGCCTATCCAAACTGTAACCGACATTAATAAACATTTTTTAAAAAGTCATAGTAATTGATTGACTTCATCTCAAAGGCATCTCAGCTAAAACAACAAAACGACAGATACCGGAGCCCGGAGATTATGATAGGTTTCCCATACGGTAATGACAAAGTTTGAATTCCAGATGTTACTATAAGAGGTTTTATATGGAGAAAGCAAGTATGTTTTGGCTTGGTGCTGCTATTGGGACTACTCTTGAGCATGGAGGAAGCCAGAAGTGAACCCGGATCAGATACAAAAGAGGAAATGTCGTGTCTGGACTGAAGAATCGGACATCAAAATACTACTGGGGTTTGTAGCCGTGGGACCGTAATGGCATCTGAACTGTGTGAAAACATCTAAGATACAAAACACTTGGAGACTGAGACATAGAAGCAATAAGTGAATAGAGTTATAGCTTTAAATGTTTATGTAGACTTAACTTGTAGCATTTTGAAAGCAGATTTTACAGTGCAATTTGTGTTTCAGTAATGACATCATAACACTGCAAAAGTCCAAATTATTTTAAGAGTAAATGTTAGACCTTGATTTGAAATTCTGTTATATTAGTTTCTTATAAATGCAAAAGTTGATGCTGCTGTTCTTAATTTAAACATGTATTGTGTCTACTGGAGGGGCCATCACCTGCTTGTTTCCACGGAGATGTGCCTAGAATGTTCCACAGTATGGCCATAAACTCATGAATCTTCACGGAGACTTGCAACAGGTTAGGTTTGTGGAGAGGCGACCCCACTCACAGTAAGAATGCAGGTTTTTTAACATGTTTTTGAGCAATAAATAAATAAGATGAGTTTAATACAATAATGTGGACACTTTAAACCAAATCATTCACATCTCCATGGAGACAAACATGCTGCGGACCCCTTCCAGAAAAGTTACACAGTGCACCTTTAAATGTAACAACAATTACTTGTATAATCATTCCGTTGGTAGATTTTAAACTTGACAGCTCAAACCCGCTAAAATAAATACAAAAAAATACTGATATTTTTTGAAGTGTGCAGTTATTTCAAAATGATTCAGTAACTTTAAGGAGTTATAAGCAAGTGTAGCATTTGCGCCACTCCCAAACTTGGATAAATGGAATGCTGCGTGAGGAAGGGCATCGGAAGTAAACTGCAATAGAAATAAGTGCTTATGCATGAAGATTTGCTTGTGTTACTTTTAAAAAATCCAAGCTTTGTCAATGGCTCTTGAAACCACTATACAATACATTTAAAGCAACCCTACTTAACGTTTCCTCTTCCAATGACGACCAATATTTTGTATAATTCTTGGAGTCAGTGAATTTTAGCCCTGTGTGAGTGCTGGAAAACCACAGTGAATGGCTGGAACATTGACGAGGATGTCTGGATGTGAGGTAAAAATGATTTGCAGTCAGTAAAAAAGAAGTGGTAAACATTTTCGTAAACTGCGAATAAGCACCTGTATTTGGGACAGATATTAGACACAAATTTATAGAGTTGACTGAAAATGCATCCAAAAAACAGAATTGTCTTAATATTTTTTTATGCACTGTTAATATCCAAAGCATTGACAGAGGAGAAAGTACATACATACAATTTGGCACACGATTTCTGGACCAACATAACCACATTTCAAGAAAATAGGAGTGCACATTTCGACAGGTCCCTGGACACTTCATGAGCTTTGAACTTTTAAACCCTCGGATAACAAAAAAACGAACAAAAATAATATATATGTAAATTAAAACATAACATTTCTCAGTAAAACATACTCTTCTTTTTTATCTTTTGAAGCAATGGCACCACCCACAGGTTCACAAAGGGAGTCCAGCAGATTAGAACAACACTAACCATTGGCTGACATTACACAGTCACTCCCCACACCGGCAAAGCATGGCATCCAAGCTCTGATCCGGTGCAAAAATCCACCCCTGGTTTTGAGTTTTTCACTAACGAGAATGGTGCTTTTTGATTCAAGCTGCCACCCAGGAACACAGCAGAAAGGAGTATCGAAATTGTGAATTCAAAAAACAATATTGATTAGAGCAGTTGTGATTCATCTAAATCCAGTACAGAATCAACTCCTGGCTTTAGTTTTGTGTTGACGAGAATGGCGCTTTTTGACTGAAGCTGCCATCCAAGAACACAGCAGAAAGGAGTATCAACATTCTGAGCAAAGAAATATTGATCTGAGCAGTTTTGATTCATCTAGATATATTTTTATTGATGAAGCCAAATGTGTGGCTAATATCAAGACAAGACTACATTTTAAATCTTTTTTTTCAATGAAATATTCACAAGTGCAGTTGAAAATTGCACTTGAAACCACAAAAATTTCACCGGCTGATAATTTTGCTGAAAATAAGAGCAAAAAATATATTGGGAATTGAGCGAGACCAGTATATCTCAGACAAAAAAGTATACTGTTTAGACATTTTATTCTGCAGTGACGAAACAAAAGGTGGTCTTTTTATGTATTTTGAGTATTTGACATTTCAATAGGCCTAGGATTTTTGTTTATAGGGACCAGAATGTGGATGCCATGCTTGTAAGTGCATTAATATCAGCGAGCAGAGTGCAAAAATACTAATACCAACTGTCCTCATAACACAGGCCTCTTGTCAGACAGGGGGAAGTGACAGAAGATACAGAGGGAAGGGGGTCGATGCTACAGTCGATTGTAGCATAGTGAGAAAGTGTCAAGGAGCTGTAAAGAGGTGATACAGGAGAAAAGGAAGGAATATTCATGGGTTTCAAGTTCTTGTTTCTAGACGCCATTTTGAGGACCGTTCAAAGAGACACTTTATAATGACTACACCTTTAACAGGCCAAATGAAGCGAGAACAAAGACTTAAAAGTGCATTGCGTAACTTGTGGACGGTCCACCATCTACTTTTATCCATGGAGATGTTAGTGCTTTGTCTGGAATGTTTCACGGTATGGCATTAAACTTTGTATCATCATGGAGACCAAACAAGGTCAAGTTACAGGTCAGATCTGTGGAGATGCACAGCCACAATACCTGTTTTTTTAGGTATTTTTGAGCTATAAAAACACCTATAATTGAATAAATGTAAATCTGTTTATTGTCATACAGTGGAACTTTTGAAGCAGAGCAATAACATATCCACAGAAACAAACAGGTGACTGAAACCCAATCAAAAAGTTACGTAATGCACCTTTAACTCATAATGAATTAATAGTTTGTTAATAATGATTCAGGATTATGAATTACTTAATTAAAACTCCTTCTAATCCTAATCCCTGTAGCTAAAATTTTTTTAATTTATTTTTTTTATAGAGAACAAATAGTTTTTATTCATGATTTAAAGGTGCACTGTGTAACTTTTCTGGTAGAGGGTCCGCCAGGTAGTTTTCTCCAAGATATTATTGCTTTACCTCCAAAATCCCAAAGTATGGAATTAAACTTTTCAATCTCCATAGCAACAAGCAGGAGATGCCACCAGGCCAAGATCTGTGAAGAGGCAACCCCATTCACAGTAAGAATGCATGTTTATAACGGTATTTTTAAGCAATAAAAATACCTACTCAATCAAATAATCAAATAAATGCATCTTATTTAAGTTTAATATCATATTACCATATTAAGGAACTTTATAGGCAAAGCAACAGCATCTCTATGGTAGTTGACCCCCTACCTGAATATTTACACAATGCACCTTTAAAACAAATGAATGTGTAGTTATTATAAAGTGGTAACAAAAAAGATAAAACTTTTCATTGTTTTGAATCAATAATCATCATAGCAACTGTGTTATTTGGAGTCCGAAACCCATGGATAGGTGCTTTTTGAAACCCCTTTGTTAAGGACCTGAGGACACACACGCACAATGGCACACCACACGGCACAGGAGGGAGGCCTCTCATGCTAACACCACAACTTTTTTGTCCATTTTTAAAGACTTTTTTTTTTTTACTTTTAGTTTTTTACAAAGTCACTAGTCACCATCTGAGACCCCGGACACATAGACAAGAAATACTCAGGCTAAAGTCGCAATAGCAGGTCTTTATGTATTTGGTCCTTCAGCGGTGTATATGGGAAATTTACATGTTTTCGGATACTACCATTTTACCATAAATAAATGAATTACTACTGCACTACTACTGTACTAGAAATGCTAGGTAGGGTTTTTAAAATGTTGATTGCAATGGACAGTTTGCTTAGTATAAAGCATAGACACTTGGTACTTGCTACAATTGACAATCACCATAAAAATACATTAATTTAACATTTCTATTTTCATTTTTGTATAAAGATGACCATTTTGAAATCCTTGCGCCAGTCTCAAGCTTGGATGAACATAGAAGGTCATGTCAGGGAGGGCATCTGGCACAAAAATGAAACCAACAGCTACTTATTGTTTGCAGTTTTTGTATGGAATCAAAGCAGTGCGCCGGTTTGTTCACACACCTTGTCTATTCTAAAAATTGGTTTTGAATTGACTTTTAATTCTGAAAAATACATGTAAAATGGTAGTAGTTAGTGCTAATAATCACTGAACACAGGAAGGCAGGAGGAGGGAGAGAGAAAACAGCACAGTGCCATCTCTGACGCCTGTTGCTATGCCGACCATCGAGAGCTAAATGAAGAGAGGAAAGTGGGAGAGAGAGGGAGGGACGAAAGAGAGACACAGCGCGAGAAAGAGAGGAATGAGAGAGAGAGAAAGAGAGAGAATCCAGCGCTTTACTCACAGGTCAAGTCTTATCGTTAAAGACGCTGTGAAAGATGCGAAAGACTAAAATCATCTTGTTCCAATCTTGGATATATAGCCTAAAGAAAAAGGCATCTGGCTTCAAGTAACACACCGCAGTGCCAATAGTAAAAAACAGAATTAACACAAAGCAATGTACACTTTGTGCCAGCTCCAAGCCTTGAAATATAGAGAGGAATGGCATCTGGATTAAAGAAACATACCACAAAGCCAATGGTAATGACTTGGATGGCTCTCTTAGGCTACATTCACACTTGCAATTTTTGGTCCTGGTAAAGTCTTGGCCTAGACTCCTCCCTAATAATCTGATATTTTGGGGTAAAGATAATCTGAAAACGTTACGCAAATCATTAAAACACATTACTAATCCCAAAAACTAGTTTGAATTTTTGACTTCCTATCCTTAACAGTGCCCCTTTCACCGCAGTGACTGTATAGTTGGCGTGTGCGTGCGATTCGGAGACACATTCTCTTTTAATTGGGAGCTGTTGTGTGTTGCCAACAGTTGGTCCTCTTGAAAAACGATGTAACTATGGGGAAAGTAGCTGAGCAATGATTTCTGCCTCCCCATTCAAGTCTGAAAAGAAAGACTCATTATAATTCATATTCAGGCAACCAACACTGCGGCCCTCTATTAGGTTCAGTAGCATTCAAAGGCAACGTGTGCATAAAAGATCTACTATTCAACAGGCTCGGGTCCAATAAAGTAAATAATATTACATTTGTCAGTAGATTTTAAAGGTGCACTGTGTAACTTTTCTGGTAGAGGGTCCATCACCTGCTTGACTCCATGTAAATGTTATTTCTTTTCCCTGGAATGTTCTACAGTATGGCATTTAATTTAATATCTCCAGCCACATCACCAGGCCAGGTTACAGGTCAGATCTGTGGAAAAGTGGACTCGCTCACAGTAGCAATGCATGTGTTTGTGGTAGTTTTGAGAAATAAAAACTCCCTATAACATAATAAACGCAAGATGTATTAGTTTAATGCCATACTGTGGAACATCCCGGGCGAAGTAATAGCATCACCATGGAGACAAGCACATAGCAGCACGCCCTGTACAAGAAAATATACACAGTGCAACTTTAAAAATGCGTTTGGATATGTGCAACTAGTCAAACAAACTTGGACAACGCCTGTTTAAAAATTTACACTATGTAACTTCTCTGGATACGCGCTCGTCTCCAGGGAGATGTCTTTGCTTTGCCAGGAAAGTTTCACAGTATGTCTTTAAACTTGTGCATCTCTGTAGAGAGCAAGTTCAGCTCACAGTAAGGATGCATATTTGACAAGGTATTTTTGAGCAGTAAAAATGCCAAGATAAATAATTCCACTTCATACTACGGTACTTTCCGAGCAAAGCAATAACATCTCCATGGAGAAGCAGAAAAGTGACACAGTGTAGCTTTAAATTTAAGTGGGATGAGTTTGGTCAGATCGCCTGTTTCTTTTCTTGTCTATGTGTCCGGTACAAAAAAGGGCTTGGTATAGTTATTGTGAGTGGGGCATTGAGGAGAGGGTAAAAGCAGTGAGGAGGGGAGGGGCTGAGTGTGACAGGTGGAAATCAGAGCAGACCCATTTCGCACAGTAGGAGTCGAAGTGCAGACGGGGGAGGGGCTTCGGAGGTAAATGGGCGGGGCTGTGGGGCAGGCATGGGTTGGTGTCGCCAAGGAAACCTGTATAGTTGGATGCTTTGTTAAGGCCAGTCTATTCAATTCCCAATCTCTTGTATTTGACACGTACAATCGACTTTACGTGCACAATAATAACTGGCATTTGCAATTTGACTTTTAATATTCATTTCAGATTGTAATAAAGTATTTTTCTGACCAGTTATGTGGCGTTTTGGCTATCAACATCTTCTCTTAGCGTTGTCGAGGTTTGTAAAAATCGAGGTTGAATTTTGTACAGTTAAAATCACATTATAGATTGCCATTGCGCAAGTTGGGGGCACTGTTACAACCAATAAGGCATCATGTCTACATACATGGCTTGCATACAAGTTTTGCATACACGTAATCGTAAGAAATCTGGTGCAAAAGCCCTGGTTGAGTTGCATATTTTGACGTTGCCACATCTGCGTCAGGAAAAATCTAATTCAAGAAGGTGCACCATGCCACTTTTCAATGAAGCGTCCGCCCCTTGCTTGTCTCCACGGAGATGTTACTGTTTTACCTTGATTATTCCACAGTATGAACTTGGAAATCATAGCGGAGATGAGTTAATGGTCAGATCTATGGAAAAGCAAGCCTGTACATAGTAAGAGTTTATGCTTTTAAGGTATTTTTGAGCTATAAAACACCTGTCACTGAACAAATGCAAAGGAGACGCTATATGTTTAAGAGAAAGAACTCACATCTCCATGGGGACAAGCAAGTAGCGGACCCTCCACCTTAGAAGTTACATAGCGCACCTTTAATTTCACATCATTTGTAAATGCCAGTAAATTTGATTGTGCACAAAAGAATATGAGAAAGATAGGAGCCAGGCCAGTGGAAAAAAATAGCCCCTTTTACATACATTTCATTCACAGTATACAGAGCAATAGTGTGTTTTCAAATACTGTATTAGTGTTAATTACTGCTAGGGATAAAAGCACATTATTATCCATTTATAGTAACTCATACTGGCTTTTTAAATGGGAGAAAAGTGAGAATACATCTGTTTCTATGTAAAAGGGGCCATGCTTTGTTATAGCGGTGTTCGTGTTAACATGACAGTGGAGGACAGTGGTCATTTGAATGTAAAATACACTTTCATCCATATAGTTGGAATAACATATTTTAAACTTCAAATTAAGAAAAGTTAAAGTTGTCAAGCATTCATTACAATAATAGGGAGCAAATATGTGATTAACCCTTGTCAAAACATAATTACAGAGGTGTCAAATAAGGTTATGAAAAGTGGCGTTGTCAGTTGGTAGAGCAAGCAAAGCAAAAGACAAAACATACGTTAAAGAAAATTATAATAGGCCTTAAAATTAAATTATTCCAACTTTATGGGCTTAAAAGACATTTTCGGTAACAGTGAACCCTAACACACTCCTTGCATAACTTTCATTAAAATGCACCCTGGCTCCTATACACCACACCAGACCATGCCTCCCGTTCCCAGGACAAAAACTCCATTACCCACTGTCCTTCACTTCTCCTCCTTCTTAGGCTCCTCCTCCTTTTTCTCCTCCTTTTTCTCTTCTTTCTTCTCCTCCTTCTTCTCCTCCTTCTTCTCGTCCTTTTTCTTGCCATCGTCCTTCTTCTTGTCCTCCTTCTTCTTGTCTTCCTTCTTCTTCTCCTCTTTCTTGTCCTCCTTCTTGGTCTCCTCTTTCTTCTCCTCCTCGGGCATTGGCTCCGTGGTGAGGATGACTTTGCCAATGTTGTTTCGTTCCTGCATCTTCCTCATGGCATCGCCAACCTAGAAACGCAAACAAAGGAATCTGGGTTAGAAAACAAGGCAATGTTAAAAAGACAATTAGTGACGGGCTTTATTTGATTTTAAGTTCAGAGAAAACAGAAGTTGCCAACATGTCCCTGTACATAAATGATATTCAAAAGAAAGAGGATTAAAAAAGAATAATAAAGATGTTCAAGAATGTATACTCATATGTTTTTAGTTTAAAGGACCCATCTTATTTTCTGTTCTATTGTTAATAATGTTGTTTCCAGCATATTTAGGCTTCTCTCAAACCCAAAACACTCTGTTCCACATTGTGATGTCATGTGGTAATATAGGAAGTGCTCCACTGTATTTTTAAACTCCACACACCTTCACTAGGATCATTTGGATAATTTAAGCCCTGGAATTGCCAATCTCTACAAAACAAAGAGTAAAAGGTAGCTGTTAACTTAAAGACTACTGCTTCATGTCATCACACGGTGGAACAGAGCATTTTGATCTTTGGAGATGCAGACAGACTATTAATAAAAGGATAACTCAAACATTTGTAAATGAAACAAAACACAACTCAGAGTATGTTTTTGATAACATGGCTTCAAGCTCACAGGAGTCAAATTTGTGTAATATAGAACCTTTTAAAAGTGCACTGTGCAACTTTTCTGGAATAGGGTGTGCAAACTTGTTTCCATGGAGTTTCCACTAATATTGTTTGCCCTAAATGTTCCCGCTATGGCCGATGAATCAGACTAGTTTATTGCTTAAAAATACATTGAATAAACATTCCTAATATGAGCAGTCTCAACTCTCCACATATTTGAACTGTAGCTTTGCCTGGTGGCATGGCCTGCTGGTCTCGGTGGGCACTGTGGATTATTCCAGGCATAGCAGTTACATTTCCATGGAGACAACAACCACTCCTGAAAAGTTACATAGTTCACCTTTATTTTCACTCTGTTCATTTTAGTACAACACCTCCAAGGCAACACTCCTATAAACCTTTTTTTTTTTTGCACTGAGTCACAGTTATTCTTACAAATTGTATTGCCCTTGGTAGCAGCACTCTGTTACCATCAATAAGGCAGAATCGCTCTCCATGCAACTTTAAAGTTCAGGTTTTGCATATTTATGGCATACCCTTACAATAAAATCTGTTTACAGCCAATTGAAATGGGATTGTAGGGACATTTTTTGGAAACATTTCATGAATTACTAATGCAATTTGGAAAAAGGTGTAAATTTGAAAGCAAGAATAACATAGTGGGTGGCACTGTTGTCTCACGGCAACAAGATCCTAACTCTGAAGAGCAGCAAAAACACCACAAAATGCCAACTGCACTGTAATAAAGTGACTGGGTGTGTTGTTTTAACTGATTTGTTTTTAGGATATAGTATAGTCCATAATAGTTAAGAACATAAACCAAACATCCTTGTGTTCATTCACTCCTCAGTAGAAATCTGTTTTTCTGGTAAGCTTTAGCCACAACTGACCTGGGGCAAATGAGCAAAAGCATGGCTGCCATCTGTAGATCTTAAGTAAAAATAATAACACATTAGTCTTTGTCAGACGCTCGAAGTCACTTGAAAATTCGATCCATTCATTCACTCCACAATCGTTGGTGGTAAGATGCTATTGTAGTCACAGCTGCCCTAGGACAGACTGACAGAAGTGAGGCTGTCACTCTGCGACCACCACAATCACTCATGCACACACCACTTTCGTACTAGGTAATGTGTGTGAAGTGTTTTGCCTAAGGACATAATGACCGTTTTTTGCCACTGGCGTCCCACTGTGGCACCTGAAATTTCCAGCGTTCTCCAATACAAGTACTACCAGGCCCTGCTTAACTTCATAGACCTGACAAGATCAGGCTTTGACAAGGAGATTTGGCCACAAACCTCTTGCGCTATAGGATTTGGTTAAGACTATCTAGAGCACAGGTGTCAAACATAAGGCCCGGGGGCCACATCCGGCCCTCCATGTCCTTTAATCTGGCCCTCGACTGATTTTCTACTAAAATATTTTAATTATATTTTCTATTTAAATATTGGTAATTTGGTCTCCGGTGTCTCTGTACGTGGCCCCTCCCACCAGAGCAGCACAAATGAAGATTTGTCTCTTTCCAAACGCTCTTAAAGGACGATCGTTTTGACTGTTGACCGTGACACCCTCATCAGAAAAATGTCAAAAATGAGAAAAGTAGACGCAGAGTGAAAAATTTACTTATCCCTATTTGCATATGAGTTCATGTTAAAACATTGTGTTGAAATTGCATTTTTCTTAAGGTTTCACGTTGTTCATAATATTATAACTTTTGTAAAAGAAAGAGTTCATCAATTAAAAATTATTTTTGTAATAGAGTTGCATTTCTCTGCACAAATATTTGAACTTATTGTTATTTTTGGGGTTTATATGCCATGAGTTTTCTGATCCGGCCCCTTTGGGATCAAAATAGGTTGGATACGGCCCCCGGACCAAAATGAGTTTGACACCCCTAATCTAGAGAGAGATTATAGTTTATAGTCAGCATATTCACATAAACTGCATATTTACACTACAGTAATATATATACTATACAAAAAGGTGTTATTCTAACTCAAGTACGCTTAATTTTTTCTTGCTCAGCTGTTTTATGGAAAAGTTGAGAGCTGAATAAGTATAAGAACTTTACATTACATCCATAAAAGCAAATACAGAGAATACATTTAGTAGCAGCAGCTGTAGCCGTCCTCTCATATAATCTTAAAAACATATGCATGCTGCACTCTGGGACGATTCGGTTCCCACTGCCTTCTCACAGTAAAACAAATTACGTGGCCCGTGCACTCGCCTAATGTTCAGTATATGAGAAATCACATTGTTGGAGCAGACTTTAATAACGTTTGAAGGGAAATGAGAGAGTAGCTGGTGGAGAGGTGGGGGAGAGATGCTCAGCAGATAATACTACAACTGTAAACCAATACAACACGAGGTAATGGTTCGACTAATGGGTTTGAAACAGGTTTTATTACTTCAATTGATGAAAGTAAAACAGTTAAAGCTGCACTATGTGACTTTTCTGGTACGGGGTTTGCTGCTTTGTTTCCATGAGGATGTTATTGCTTTGTTTGGAAATTGAATACTGCATTTTTATATCTGAAAACTCATTGAAATCTTGTTTTCCACAGATCTGACCCGCAACTTTTCTGATGCTGGGTCCATCACCTGCATTGTCCATGGAGATAGTATTACTTTCCCTAAAATATCCCACAGTAAGGCATTACACGCATCCATTCCAACAGAAACATGGAGTTGATACCAGCAGACCAATATATGGGTCATATCTGTGGAAAGGCAAGCTCACACATAGTTTTCACGTGTTTTTCCAATGTAGTTTATAGTGGAGAAAGAACAAAAATGTGGCTGTTTGCTGCAGGTGTTCCAATCAGTGGGAGCGGGTAGAGGGTGCTCTTGGAAAAAGGATCAAAACTAAAACACAATGGACTCCAGGCCCCTCAAAGAAGTAGAAAAAGTAAAAAATCGAATGAGGAAAAATGTAGTTAAAAGGCCTTTATTTGAATGGCCAAAGCCAGCATGTTTCAACCTTAACTGGTCTTCATCAGGGCTTAGTAAGTGAGTAGTTTATAGTGGAGTTGAAAGTTGTGGTACATTTCAGGTAAAGCGGTAACTAGGACTGTAATTATATCCAAGTCTCACAATACGATATCGTCACGGTATGAACCTCACGGTATGATATTTATTTATTATTATATAGTGGGAAAGCTCATGATATGGTGGGGAGACTCAGGATTAGGGATGTAACGATATCCAAATCTCTCTGAATGATATTTTCATGATATACATCTCACGGTACGATATATACTGCGATATTTTGTGGATATTTTCTGTTAATATGCTACTTTTTCCTCTAAAAATGCCTTGACAAGACTTAATCCAAAGAATTAACTGCTATTTCTTCTTGTAGTCTGCACTGAAATGGAGCAAAGGATCATGGTCTATGTAGTTCCCTCTGTCTTTTTTTTAGCTGTTGCTGCACCAAAACCTTTCATTTAAGCAAAGACACTTCGATATATTGCGATGGTCCATGATATTATTGTGAGAACTTTGACGATACCATATCATGATATTTCGGTTATTGTTACATCTCCATGGAAACAAGCCAGTGACGGAAATAAGTTACATAATATATCTTTAAAAATGTTCATGTTAAGAACCAAACTACTATTTCTCTACTGTTCCCTCTGGTGACGACATTAATCAAAATATGTTACTGGTTAAGTGAGCATGGTAAATTAGCTCTGTACAGTCATTATTTTGGTCCAATTATAATACATTATCATCATTAGTCAGGGTCCACGTTTTCAGAAAGTATCAGTGAGCTTTATAATGGGCACAATTTGGTATCTAACCTCAAAACCGAATGACATTTAAACATCTCCAGAGTATAAAGGGAAATTTCCACTCGTGCTGCTCTTAATGTAGTGATCCCCCGCCCCACCTTTGACCGCCGAGTCCTGTACGGTCTGTTCCTGTCTCCATCTCTACCTCCTCTGCCTCCGCTCGAGCACAGAGGACCACCTAACAACCAACGCCAAGGCAACAGGGCCATCTCCTAGCAACGCCAAGCCTGGAAACGTGGCCCTGACGACTTTGGTACGCAGCAACGCGAGAGAGGGGAGGGAGGAGAAAGAGAGAGGGAGAAAGAAGAGAGGGGGAGAGAGAAGAGGAGAAAACGAGAGGAGAGAAAAACTGAGGATATAGATAGAGGAGAGGGAGGAGGAGAGATGGAGAGAGGAGAGAGGAAGGTGGATGAGAGAAAGAGAGGAAGAGAGGAGAAAGAGACGGAGAGAGAAGTGAGAGAAGAGAAAGATGGGAGAGGGAAGATAGAGGAGAGGGAGAGAGGGGAGTGTGAGAGAGAGAAGAGGGAAGAGGAGGAAGCGAGAGAGAAAAGAGGGAGATATCTGAAAAGACAGGATAGGAGATGGATGATAGAGGAGAGAGGGGAAGAGAGGAGAAAGAG